TGGATTTTCCACAACGATCTATCTTGCCATTTATAATATTTCGAGAATTTTACTTCCACACAAGAGATGTGAAGACAAGATGCGAAGAACAAACGTATAGGAATAATGAGTTTCATTATCATATTTAATGCTCAATACTTTATATACGAGCCCTTGAATTTTGAGTGAGTAACGATCGAGCTTTTACACATGGAGCTGTTTGAAATTCCGGTCTACCTGTAGAAGACAATCGCTTACAAACGCGCCGAGCAGAGAATATAATTAAACAATGCATATTCATAGAGCCATGCGACCGTAAAAGTCACATTCACTTCTACGTCACGTAAAGCTGATCCAAACCGGTAGAATTCTGGATTACATGTTATATAGTTTAACGTCTTCGTGGCACTGGATGCTAGTTAGAAATCCTAGATATGTACACATTTGATACGCTTAATTTAGCGCTAGATTTACATTAGACATTTATCACAATCTCTGTGCACGCGGTTAAATTTAGATTTCGGCAAAGCTTGACAGACAGAACATTTGTACGAACGCGTACTGAAAAGTACGTTTCAACAGGTTGTTGATTCAGTACTCTTTACCTTTCTTTTGAATTACATCGTGAAAAATGTCAAAAAATTCATTTAAATAGAATAAAATTTTTTGCACGGCATATTCTATTATATATGACATTATTTCTAAATATTTCTGAAAATGAGATGTTAAAATGTTCCATTGAATTATTACCAGATATAATTTTTATACATGTTTTTTTTTGCAATACTTATTAAAATAGTCTTTATTAATTCTACGGATGATATAAACGATTGAACTGAACAATTGAATTACTTGAAAACACTCACGAGCTAAAACATCTTTCAAAGGTAAAAATTGTAAAGAAGTAGATTCGTTTATCGGAAATTTGTCTATCTTTATCGACGGATTTGACTGCCGATTTGTGAATAGTTCGAACGGGTTAATACTACAATATTTCTATAACAGTACATTGTACAGCTTTTGTAAAAATGTTCAATGTTTTTTGTCGTATCGAAAGCTGACTATTGATTCGGGCTGCAAAAATAGCAAAAAATATCGCAGATATTCTTATGCGCTTTAATTTTTTCGATGGAACATTTAAAAATTTTTAAAAATAAAAATTGCAATATTCATGTTTTCGCATCTTCTTGCGCACATTCTCCCATATACTTGTTTCTACATAAACGCAATTTCTCTTTTTTTGACAACATGAAATTTTTAATTTTGCATAAATGCAAATCCACTAAATTTTTCATTTTGCATGAATGCAAATCCACTAAAGTGAATTTTTTATTCATCTATCTTCCGAAACAAAATAAAAATATTTTTGTGCGAAATTTGCATCCTTTGTGAGTTACAGGCTCATTTTCAAGTTTTCTAACAATAAGAGAAAAACATTTTTTTTCACGAAATTACGAAATAATGAAACGTAAGAAAGAGATATGTGTTTTATGTCTTTTGATGATTTATATTCAAAATAATAGACAGCTGAATCAACAACCTGTTGAAATGCACTTTGTAAGCGCATACATCAAAAAAATTCCATTTCAAGAGCGAAATCTTTCATTCACGATCATTTGTGTACGTATTTTGAATGTATACAATTCATCAAGATGATTGTATATATGAAGCGTATGAAAAACACAGCGATGCAAATTAAAACAATATTTATGAAACGAGTGAAGAAAAAAGGCGGATCTTGATATAAGAAATATTTGCGATTCTGATTGCTACGAAAAGGTACATTAATTGCACGAATGAAAATTATGTATATAAATGATTCTTGCGCGAGTGATTTACAAAACAATCAAAAGCTAATTTATTTAAAAAATAAGCTAAACGGAAAATTCACGTTATAAAATTTTATTATTGTATGTCTTTGAAATTTAATTATATATTTACTAATAAATCGCTTGCCACGTACAACGAATCACACAATTTAATTATATACAATAATTTCCATAATAAAATATTTATAAAAATAAAATAAAACTTGCGTTTAGTGATATCTATTTTTATATCTATTTTTATTGCTATTACTTTCGATATTGCATGCATTTATTGCCGCTCGCGGTTAAATTCATTAAATGAAGCGAAACTGCTTGATTTGAAATGGTATTCGAAACTCTGCTTCGATATAATCGCGATTTAGTGCACATAAAAACTTGCGTTTTCATTTGTGATATTTTCTGCAAGGAGAGATTTCGAATACAGGTATTCATTCGCAAAACTCGGAGAGATTAGTTTGAATTAAAGCCAACTTTAAATTAATAGTTCGTTCGTCGGAAAGACAACCTCAAGGACATTTCATAAACTAATACCATATGTTTGACAGATGTACCGAATATTATTCTTCAAAATCGACTGTCCGTGATCGATCGCACAAATTTACGGAGTATTTTGGAGTTGGTTTATGTTTATGCAAAGCGAGATTCAAAACAACGCGTCGGTCTATCGCTTGAAATTTTTCGCTAAAACCTGTTTGCGTGTAACATGTGAATTGCATATTTTGTATTATTTCTCAGCTTAAATAAACGTCGACGAAATTACTCGCTTTCTCATTAAGCATTCAGTTCCTGAATTCCGTGGATGCTGAATGTAATTGAAAGATTTAACTCGCTCGCATGCGTGATAGAAATTTTATTAATATAGCATCTGTTGACGTTACATAAAATTATGTTAGAATTTTCCAGTTAAAAATGTCCATTTTTGCTAATACATGTCATATTATTAACAACAAAAATAGTCAAAGTAAATGTTGATGTAACTGCTTATATTATCATTTTTCAGAGTAATTTAATAATTGAAAAATGAAGCATATACGCGGTGTGAATTCATTAGATAAATTTCTATTAATTGATTCTATAGATCAAGTCTATAGCACAAATGATAAATGAAATAAAAATTTATAAAAAAATTATTACATCATGGAACAATTTGGACAGCGGCATTGTTTTTTATATATAGCCGAAAATCTAAAAGAAACACTCTGATTAGTTACTCGACAAAAATCTTTTTTGTCGGCCTGTGTAATTTATCTATATGAAATGAAAGAATGATTTGTTATCCCAATTGTGTAGTATCGTTTGTAATACGAAAGTCAAGTGCAATATTATAGAAATGTTACACCTGCCCATTGATTTTTGATTCTCCATTCATCGCATTCAACCGCACTCGTGGAAAGTCGCAATGTCGGCCAGGACGAGTTGCACAATAGAATAGAGTGAGACTTCTGGACCCTTTTGTAAATTACTATTATACGAAGTTGCAGTTTTAAACTAAGTTATGAAGCTGCGGAAATGCAGAGACACTTGCTTTTTCAAGCTCACTATGTTAATGCATTCGAAGCCACGAGATGTCTTTGTCTTTCGTAGCAAAATGAGGGCATCGCACCGCAAGTCGCGTGTGAATATATGTGTATATTATATATTATATGTACTACATATAATATATATTGTAGATATGTACTATATATATTACATGCACATAGTATAATATTGTTGTGAAGGTCAAAGGTTAAAAGGGATCTCCGACAAAGGGCATGGAATTGTAGTTTCGTTTCATATAATCGCAAGCCGAATTTCGAACGTTCACCAATTAAGCGTCCGACAAAAGGACGTATTTGATCAAAAACGTATATGTTAATTATTCAGATTGGAACTGAATGGTGAGTAAATGTCATGTCAAGGTGCCGAGATCGCCATCAAGGATCTGGCGATAATAAATTCGTGACGCGTGATCATTTTTTTAAGAACGATTTTATTTACGTACATTTTTCAACGATTCTATTTGTCTATTCAATTGATATCAAAAATAATGAATTTGCGAATTTTTTTGATCGTGAACGAATTTGTGAATTTATTATCTTTTATATCAATTGTGTTGATCCTTAAATCCTTACAATGCAGCATTTTTATTTAATAGTAGAGTTATATGAAAGCACACAATGTGGAAATTAGAAAGTTGTAATATAAATGATGGCTTCCTACGACACACCCTATATAGTAAAGAAACTTTATTTAATTACAGTTAACCGCGTGGTTGATAGCAACCAACTACACTACATATATCGACATGTTAATTACTTTTGCGGGATATTTTCTGAATCAACTGTTTTGCTCTCTGCATTATAATATTGCTGCAATCTTGCCTATAATATGTTCAGTATATAATTACTAAAAAAGGGATAAAGCTTGAGTCTTATCGTTTCGGATATAATTCATCTTTGGGAAACTTTGGTGTACAAGGTCGAAGTGTAATAATAAAATTAATGGCTTTCTAAATGAGACTAATCAAAAGATATTGCTAGTAACATCTGTTAATTTATCAGTCAATGATATACATACATGCTAAATTGTCAATTTTTATTAATTTTTATCAATGCAAATCTCTATAATTCGTAATTACGACTGAGATTTTTTCTCTAATTTGTTTTTAATCTTTAATCGTATAAAGATCAAATATATTTATATGTAACAATAATTTTACACAATTTTATATATCCTTGTATAAATTTCTAACAAATTTGTGTATAAGAAAAATTATTTTTTGCTATTTTCCATACGAGAACAAAATGTATTTACTTTTAATAAGAAGCATAAACATCTTTACTTATCATTATTATTTGTACTTGTATCTTTATTGATCATAACATCAAGCCACGATTGCGCCTGTATAATGTATCATATTTAAATGAGAGATAATCGAGGCATTGCTTTTTTCGAAAAACGTATTACACCCGGTTTACATTCATATATAATAAAACAAAACAATCGATCGCGTCGAAGTGCAAATAAATCGAATACTTCTGCGAGTGATCGAAGAACGAGAGAGATGCTGTAATAACCGGCGACGCGACGGACGCGTGTCACGGAGAGATTCGCGGGAAATGAGTGACAGATAGTAAAACGCGAGTGAAGGATGCGTAACGAGAACGACCCTTCGGAAAGGGAAGAATAATAAACGAAGCAGGGTGTATTTACCATTTCCGCGCCATCGTGCCGCGGATCGGAGACGTTCCAAGTGCGCCGCTCTTACATCCTCGACATCCTCATCGTCTTCAGCCGGTGTCCTCGTCGAAAGGAAGATAAGAGACGCGCTAATTTCAACTGCAATCGCGAACCGCAATTTTTAACTGTTTATTCATAAATCGCCGACAGGTATTTATTCACCGCGCGAATACTTGCGAGATCTCTCTTTTCTTTTGCTCTCAAAATCACCGAACGCAACGAAAACGTTGCACAAGATGCGCACACGCGTGAAGCGCGGAGCCGACTGGCTCGGCCCGCCCGCCGCGATCTCCGGCTCCGGCCCCTGCGTCAGCGCCACCTGCTCCACAGGGATGCTGCCCCTGCGGCGGATCGTTCGCACGCGCAAAAAGATTACTCTCATCTTCCTCGCATCCTGATCTACCTGCGAAACGCGCGAGACCAATTACGGGACGATGAAAATTCCTTTTTATATATGGTTTCTCGTAGATTACAAAATGCACAAAGTTTATTTCCCTTCCAAATATTATATTTTATTCCCCTTCACGACTATTATATTTTAACTATAGGGGTTGAGCTTTCCTGGCATATACAGTTCTATATGTAATATGAAATATAGATACTTATATAAAATATATGTATATATGTATACACCATTTAGTATTATACAACTGATTGATAATAATATATATTGATCGATAAGATTATATACATATATATATGTATAAAATATCTATATGCATATGATTGTATAATAATCAAGTTTCAATCTATAATGATAATGATTAAACTCTAAATGACTTTTTAAATTATTTTGTAAGATATCTGTTAATGTTATAGGTAATAATTAATTGCGTCTTTCTATTATTAAAACCGGGGTACTTTGAGGATCGAATAGCGTATATGCGTCGTCGTTGAAAAGCGAGAAAAACTTTTAGTTTTTATCCATTTAAAAGATATTAGTAAATTCTAGATAACTTGTAATCGTGGTCAGTGATATTTACCGCAATATTTTTTTAGATGACAAGTTTTTGTCCCTCTTTATCCCAGTTTTTGTTTTGCATGTGCACGAAAATATTTATAACGCTCGTATAATACTATAGCTAGCAATGCGCAAATAAAGATTTTTCATTTTTTACATGTCTTAAATGCAAAATACAAATCATATAATTATAATTATAAAAGTTTATATTATTAAACTGATCATTTTATCGATGTTTTCCCATATTTCTAAATACGTTCTTGCATTATTTCAACAGTATTTCGACAAAATAATTATTAAATTGTCAGGAGACAATTATAAAAAAATGTTTCGACAAAATAATTATTAAACTGTCGGGAGACAATTTAAAAAAAAGTATCTCTACAGTTTAATAATTATTAAACAGTCGGGGAACAATTTTTAAAAAAGTATCCCTACAGTTTAATAATTATTAAACAGTCGGGGGACAACTTTAAAAAAAGAATCCTTACAGTTTAATAATTATTAAACAGTCGAGGTACAATTTTAAAAATAGTATCCCTACTTTCTAATATTAGTTCGATTTCCGATTCAGCGACTTTTTCAGACCGATACATTTTTCTCTTTACTTCAGGGGCCTTCTACATTACTTCAGGGGAATAAAGGGGAACATATAGGAATTAATATGTCAAGTATGAGATCTTCCTAATAAGTCTTAGCAATTACTAAGCAAAATTTCGTGCCTCGTGCACAATTATAAGACAGCACAAAATTAAATTTTCGCTGTTTTCGCGCACATATATCTGCAGTTGGCTATCATAGCCTTTCTATTTTAAAAGTTATTTACTAGTATTAGGAAATTTATTCCTAATATTAGAAATAAAAAAACTAATATTAGAAAATTTCTTCCTAATATTAGGAAAAAATAAAACTGAAAGTAAGAAATTTATTCCTAATATTAGGAATAAATAAAACCTAATATTAGGAATTTTTCCGTGGTTAATATATTTACTGTGGTCCATATTTTCCGTTGTTAATATTTACCCGATCAATATTTTCCGTGGTCAATATTTATCGTGGTTAATATTTTCCGTGGTCAGTATTTTCCTTGGTCAGTATTTTCCGTGGTCAGTATTTCCCGTGGTCAGTATTTCCCATGGTCAGTATTTTCCGTGATCAATATTTTCCATGGTCAATATTTACCATGGTCAATATTTTCCATGGTCAATATTTACCATGGTCAATATTTTCCATGATCAATATTTTCGTGGTCAATGTTTTCCGTGGTCAATATTAACAATTATTAAAATGTCGGAAGACAATTTTAAAGTCTCCTAACAATTATTAAATGTCGGGAGACATTTTTAAAGTCTCTCGACAATTTGTTTGTTTGTTTGTGACGATATTGTGAATAATATTGAATTGTCAGTATTTTGCTTTGTCGGGATTTTAGTTTCGCTAAATTTCTGTTTGTCGGGATTATGATTTGTCGAAACAGTTATTCAAAATAAAATTATGTAAAATTAAATAAATCGTTAAACAAGATCAGACAATGGCGCGCGCTTTCTTAGGCCTAGTTATATATAAAAATACGAAAGAATACGAAAAAACCGTAATATAAATGGTTTCTTTTATTTATCAAGTACTGAAACTGAAACCGAAACTGTTATTAAATTTTTATTAAACCGTAACCGAAACCCTAATTTTGTTTTGATCCGGATGCCTGCTTACAATATAATATGGCGTTACAAGGCGGTACGCAATATATGCTCCAGCGTAGGGCGCAAAGTTTAGAGAGGGCGCAAAATTTTAACAGTTTAATTTTTAATTATTTTTGCAATTTTGCAAAATAATGGAGTCTTTGTTACTGGGACACACGATCAAATTCTAACGTAGGGGCGCCTAAGACTGTCGTAACGCCTCCGAATATGTGTCCAGCAAACACAGAATATATAGTTTCTATTTTCTTATAAACTTAAAAAGGCATGTTAAGTCGATTCTCGAATGTATCGCGGTACACTCATATCGAAGGATTTTTGAAAGTCTCGAAGTGTATTGTTGCCTCCGCGATATAGATTGGTTCTGTCGTTACGTTTATTTCGTGAGCAGCTGTCAATGCACATTTTGATAATTGTATATGTATCAAGAACTTAGTCTATTGAAAATTATGTGTATATTAAAAAATTTTGTATACATGTATAATTATTAAAATCTGATGAATTAAATATAATATTTAATAACAATAATATTCAATGAATTTAATTAGTTTTAGTCATTAAAAGCGATAATTAATTTTTTCCAAATTTTAGGTCTCGAATATATATAGTAATGTTAGGTCAAGACACGTGATTTTTATATATTTTTAATTATGAAATTGAGGACCATTTCATAAACGTTTCCCATATTTTAAAGCACGCTTTTTCATTTTTTAATTAGTTTCAGTCATTTAAAGCGATAATTAATTTTTCCAAATTTTAGGTTTCAATATACGTATATAATTATATTAAGTATAGTGACTCGTAATTTTTCAAAATTTTTATTACGAAACTGAGGTTTATTTTGTATTTTATAATGAATTTTGGTCGTTAAAATATTCATCAAAATTTTCTATTTTTATGGTGTCATCCCAACAAATTAATCTGTCATATTAATTTTCAACTTTGTATATGCTATATATTGACATATTTAAATATTTAATGAAGTTATTACTTTTGACATTTTAATGATATGTAAAATATGAGATACAGCGAGCTTATAATAATGTTCCGCAACGTTATTGCGAAGCAATTTCACTATATAATCGTGTTAATTGATGCTAGAGTATATAGATTTATTGCAATTATATCTCTTTAAAAATTAATTTTTATATCTCCATTCTTATGTATCGTATCCTTAATCTGTAAATATTTAAAAATTTTACAATTAGTGATTAACGGAAATGTTTAATTTTTCGACTCATTTTATGTTACAAAAGGAATGACAGATGATTTTGATAGGATTTTTCCCGTAGATTACGAATCTGAAACGAAAAATGTTCCTTCATGTCACGTTTTTGAAAAAAAAACGGGGTCAAATGTCAAAAATCTCGTTTTTGGCATTTCTTGAATCTTTGTCACAAAGAAACGAAACGTGATAGAATACTTTCTGAGGAGTCAAATTAAAGCTTAAATTTTAAACTTTAATGTTATGAAATAAAAAAACGTGACATTGTGAAATCGTGTAGCACAAGTTTCTTGACTGGGCGTACGCCAATTTTGACAAGACTAATTTTAAACTTGGTATTTAAATTTAGCATAAAAAATATCAGCAAAAAATTTAAAATTTTGTCGATATACTCATATAAATGACGGGGTTGCATCATAAAATTATTTCTCTCACCTCTCACTACTCGAAATGTTTTTCAAAAAAATTTATTTATTGAACAAACTAATTTGATCCCGTCATTTACACATGAGTATTTCGACAAAATTTTTAATTTTTTTCGATATTTTTTATTCTAAATTTAAATACCAAGTTCAAAATCAGTTTTATTGTCAAACGCGAGATCAAAATTGGCGCGCACCCAGTAAAAAAACTTATGCTACACGACTTCACAATATTGTCACATGTTTCTTTGCTTCATAACATTAAAGTTTAAGTTTTAATTTGACTCCTCAGAAAGTATTCTATCACGTCCCGTTTCTTTTGTGACAAAGGTTCAAAAATGCTAAAAACGGGGTTTTTTGACACTTTGACCCCGTTTTTCTCAAAAACGTAACGTGATAGAACATTTCTGTTTCAGACTCGTAATCTACGGGAAAAATCCTATCGAAATCACCTGTCATTCCTTTTGTGACAAAATTGTGTTGACTAGTGTAATTTATAATATATCATGAGAACAATTGAACTTTACGCGATTATAAATAAATAGAAAATAAAGATCAAAATATTTATTTGAAATATTACTATATCGATGTAGGATTGGAAAGCTTTCGAGGATGTATTTATGAAAAAGAATAGAATATATGCTCTTTCTTTGCATTTATTGATCTACAGTATATCTTTACGCGCGAATCCTAGCCGGATTTATAAAATCATCTTCGATTATTCTATCTTCTTATCTTATTCTGTCTAAACGTATTATTTATTTATATAACACAGTACTGATTCACAGTAAACATCTCCAGAGCAAAAATGCAAGAATGTACTGCACAAATGAAAAAAGGACACAGTGATATAAAACGATAATACAAATTGTTATCTTGATGTGTCTACTATTGTGAAATATATATATATATATATATATATATATATAAAACAAAGTAGAGTATTTATATATTTGTTCTGCATACACATGCTCTGTCATCGCGTTTATTATATCATAAAATCGACACTATATTATACATTGAATAATTTAAACGTCCAAATATTATCATATAGCACTCATCCCATTATAAGAAATCTTTTAACGATTAATATATTTATATATACAACGATTTGTGTGATAATAAAACTTTATTTTTTGATTAATGATAATTTCGAAGTATTTTTCAACAAATTATACAATTTCTTGTTAACTTACTATTAATTTTGTTAATTGAATTTCATAACAAAATAGACAAGTTTTCTTCTATAGATTTTTTAAATTATGAAAATAGTTAATTTTTTTCAGAAACAAAGAGAAGAATGCGTTATAACGTCGTTAAAATATGTATATTTTTAATTATGTCACCACGTTTTTGTCATTAATCATATACATACACCAGGCAACAAATTTATATATTACTGATCACAAATATATCAAAATAACACGAAAGTACAGCCAATTCTTCGAATTGGATGCTCACTGCCAAATTTTTACTGTTTTCCAGAAACAAGTATACTATCATAAAATTGCACAATCACAATAAGTATCAGACAGTGCTGAAATCTATATTTACGCTCGTGACATACATATCTAACGCTAATTAATCGAAGAAAAACTTGTCAGTAATAAAGATGTGCATATTTTTCATAAATTTAAATAATGAAATATACTCGACTCAAAGTACAAAATAATGTGCGTTCCATATTCATCAATCGAAATATAAAATTGATCAAATGTATAATTAATAACAGTAATAATCTATTGCAATTTAAAAAATGTGAAATATTTTCAGACTTTCATTCAATATATGCTTCATTTAAATGCACATTATATACACAATATCAATACATTAGGCTTTATGACTCTTATAATCAAAAGAGGAAACATTTTAAATATATCTATAAAAAAAGATGTAATAAAATGTATTTTAATATTTATCCATAGTATTTTTTTATATCATGGCTCGCAATACACTATATAAACACGTGATAGATGCTGTCATGCACACTAAACGTGTTGTCACATTTCCGATACATTATGTACATCGTACATCGAAAGATGCACTTAACTAAATATTCATAGGCACTTATACAAAAAGCACATAACATATTTTTTAATTCTTTTAACTATTAGTACTACTACACGATACGTCTTATAAATAAAAAATAATTATTAGGATAAAATAGTACGTTCCTTTCTCGAGATTACGTCTATCGTAATTAAATTTGTGACAAAAAATTGTATACAAATTTTTTTCACTAAATAAAGTTGTGATGTAGATAATATCTGTGTTCTAGTTTTCGATAAGATTTCTACGCAGATAAATTGACACAAAATAAATCACTTGTTCGATGTAATTGGAACATATTCGAATATATGTATGTATATAAATCGTCTCATACATTAAGCTTCAAATTCCTGTCCACAGCAAATGGAGTTTTAGTTTTATTATAGATCTGTGTTGCAGATCTTAAATGCTTTTCACATTGGTTGAAAGAATTGCTCCTATGTGCGTAAATATATATTAAATAAAAGATAGATAGACTTAATATAATATATTAACGAGGAGGAAGATAGGTAAATAGGAAAATAGATAGCTAGGTAAGGAGGTAGGAAAATAGACAGGTAGGGATAGGTAACTCTATCATTTTCATGAGCGACATTGTACTAAACTAACGGTTTCTGTATATCATCCAAATGTTTTCTTAAATATATGATGAAGTCCGTTAGACTAGTGGACATGGCTCTTTCTACAACTGTTTGTGGTATCCAGCCTTTAAGATTTGTATTTAAAATCCACGTAAAGCGACATTTATTAACGTTAGGTTCCTCGTCAACTAACTCTTCCGTTGCAAAACAGCTTATACCGTTTTCACCCCTTAAAAAATAACAATTAACTCTCCTTATTTTTTTTATATATTAAAAAATATCATTTTTTCTCAATGTCTCTTACCTGGTCATATTTGGACGAATCTGAACCAATGACGTAGGAACAGATATACCACCGTTGATGTAATAATCGCCGCATTTCTTACGATGCCTCAAGATAACGAAATCTCGCGCTGTGATGAGTCCACCACCATAAGAACTTGTCGCTTGATAAACGATATCCGTGTTTTCATCAATACCCTAAAAATAGATAATTGTTACTAATATCAATAAAATATTGCAACAGAAAAAGAATGCAAAAATTACCTGCAGTTTCATCGATTCCGTCACAAGTTTATTCCATAAAGGAAATTCCTCAATACCATCAAATAATAAATCTATTAGTATACTAGCAGGCGCGTTGACAATGCCCTAAAACAATTAAAATAGTTTTTATTATTTCGGAAAATGAAAAAATTTATTTACTCGCGCGTAAACAAAATTTTGTCTTTTATAATTTATTCATTTATTTTAATTTACGCTTTTAATGCATGCTAACTTACCGTGATTTTCACGACCTTTCCATCTATTTTCCATTCTGATGGCAGCTGCATGTAGGATACTTCATCGCCATCACTTGTTATAGTTTCGATCTTCCATTCTTTCGAAGTTAATAAGTTGTGACAGTTTCGCAACATTTTAGATGCGCTCGTTTTATATTCATCGATCTAAGAGAAAAAAATGTTTCATGTTTAACGTCACATTCAAAGAGATTTAAAACTTCTTTTTTAAAATATTCAAATATTTAAATAAAAATATATATCCACGTTTATATTAAAATCAAATTTTAGAAATACATCCTCACTATAATAATTATAAAAAAGTATTGAATAAAATAAATCTTCCAATTCATTAATATATGATATTAATGATTAATAATCCGGTTTGTTGTATTTTTTCATTAATAATTTATACAATAATATAACAATAATGTAACAAGATATTTCAATGTTTTAAACTCATCAGAATGTTTGCAATTTAGTAAGTGCTATATATATATATTAAAGTGCTACGAATCATATTTAAACTATTGTGTAAATTTGTAAAAATTAGTGAACCATTTGTATTCCACCATTGTATACTATTTGTATAATGCATCCATTACAGATATTATAGATATTACGAATATCTGTAAACGATTTTCTCTCTTACTAATGTATATCTCTAATCTGTTTATGCGATATAAACTAATGTGCATGTATATATATATATATATATATATATATATATATATATATATATATATTTTTTTTTTAAATAAAATATGCTATAGTATAAAAATTAAAATAAAATTAATCAATTTCGTTATATTCTTTCGATTAAATTTTGCTGTTAAATAAATCTTTTTCTGCAATTATATTTTGATATTTTTTATTATCAAATTTATTTATAAATGATTAATAGATCAATTTTTTCATAAAGTATGTAAAGTAAGTAATAATATTGAAATGAAAACATACAAATTGATACTAGATAACTTACAGAAAATATTTCATCGCTCGTTGATAATTTTGTCAAATTTTTTTGGGGGTTCCAACTTTTCTCTATAGACTTGGGCAAACATTTTAGCGCATCACCAAGAAAGAACGGTCGTATTATCGTACGCATAAAGATATGTATGTTGAACGTATAAAGAATTAAAAACATAACGTAAAACGCGAATAATTAACTGAGAGAAGCACAATCGTTTGCAGACTAAAATTGAATGCGACTAAATACGCAAAAATAAGCCAACTAACGATATCGTTCTTTACATACTTTGCTCCCACTCCATTTTTTTGTGCTATCTCTTGCTATTTAAGAGATTATTATGGATATATAAAAAAACAGACTTGACATTGACTATTTTTATATTTATATAAAACGATAATATAAGTAAAACGATCAAAACATACGTTTCTAGAATTTAGAGGATAAATTCATTAAAATTTTTTGTAAAAATGATATAGAAGATGAAAGTATACAAACAAATAGAAAAACATTTTAGAAAATCATATATATAATAAAATTTGATATATCAGAAATTAATTTTACCAGCATCAATAAAAACGCGTTACAATAAGATCAAATGAAATGATGTTAAATGGGATTTCTTATTATATCATCTTATTATATTATCAAATATGGAATTAGCTTCTTTCAGACTTTGAGCATAAGTGTGTCATAAATTCTAGTTTTTCTTGTAATTAGCCTTGATCTTGACAAATTTTTTAATTGTTCGATCCTGAATTATTTGACATGATGTGGATTTCGAAACATACGTTTATTTCTCAGTTAATGATGCGGTCCTAGATTATTCGACACGTGTGGCTCTTTATCTCTTTATCAATCTTCATTAGATAACAATCTTGACGTATGCGAATATATACTTCTAAATTTTCAATGATACTATGATTCAATGATAATATGATGATTTATGCGATAGTCAATGCCAGGGATATTAACAGGATTACACTCTAAATTTAAACGATATTATCAAAAAATTTTGTTAAGCTAACCCATCTGTTCATTATTTTCATGCGTATCTTATCTAATTTTACATTCTCACTTAAACACGTGCCGCTGTCATTTTGTCATTAATCTAGGTTTTAAATCAATAACCTATAAATACAAAAAAAAAAAAAACTTTAATTTCACCAACCTTATCGGGTGTAAGTTTCGCTAAAAACGTAGATAACTCGCTGGACTTTGATAATCTTCTCAAGTCTTCTTGCTTTCTAGATGTATCTTCATCATCGGAATGACTTGGAGAATCCACAGGTGTGAAAAATGTATTGTGATCGACGTTTGCTGCATACTGTCGTGATTCGGTAATGTTTTGTAATAGAGGAGTTCTTTCTGTATCTGGGAAATCTGCAAATTACAGAAATTTGCCAATATCTTTCTATACTTTCGCACTAAAGTGTGAAATAATGATTAAGTTCTAATAATCTCTCTTTCGATTTTACTTTATTGTGCTGTTGACTAAATTAACTGATTTGTTTTGTAAGATATTAGTTCATAAATAAATTTTCAACTTCAACTATATCGTTACTCTTTATATTTTATTATTTATTGATTAATGTTTAGGAAAAGAAACTAAATTATTAAGAAAAACTTACTTCGAATCCAATTTCTCGCTTGAGTTTCCTGAGGTATAACGCGAAAATCAAAAAACCAAGCCTCCGCCCAAGATAACACAAAAGATGTTAGAATTAGTAGAACTTGGAATACTGGTTGATTAGCTGATGTCCACTGAAAAAAAACGATATATTAATCAAAGAAATTGATAATAAATATAATAATAATATAAATAATTTAGGGATATTTACATCGAAAAGAAAAACTTTTGCAATTAAAAAGGCACATGTTGTGGCAGTTGAGATCTGTAAAACACAAAACCTTGAATTAATTAATTAATTAATCATATCACAAATCTGTTGAAAACAATATTAAATACAAAATTCGAGAACTACAGATGTTTCGCTCTTTTCATCTTTTCTTCTTTTATTTTTTCTGTTGAAGTCATTAAACCATTTCTCGCAGAAAAGTTTGATTAATATTATAAATATACTTACAGCTACGATAATCCAATGATTGAGATACAGTAGCGCATAAAAGAGCAACAAGACGGTGAACCTGCAAATCGCTGCCATCTGAGAAGATGAAATCCGTAAAATCTCTGCTCCCAATAAATAATGAAAAATTATGACGAACTGAACGTCACTGTCGTCATCCAGTTAATTAAATTCATTTACGATGAACGACAGAATATACTTACCACGATGTCAAATAAAGATGTCTTTATATGATAGTGTATCACCTGATTTATGAAAGCTGTCTTTAAACTTTCACCTGCAATCTGTGAATATATAATACAGTAATTGTAAATTTTATTTAAATCTCTTAACAATCTTTGAATAATTTATTTATTTGAATATTCAAGTACATGAAAAAAATAAAAATTTATGATATGAAATCCCAACTTTAAAACGTTGCATAAAATAAAGACGTGAATTGTACAGAAAAATATGAAAGAACATTTTTTGCAAATGTTAAAATAAAATTGTAGAGTAAAAAAGTAATTTCTATGTAATATAAATACAGCAAGCAAGTTACATGCAAGCTACATTAAATTATTACATTTCTGACAAGATCAACGTTGCCATCTATATTGATTAAGCATTTATTGTGAATAAGATCTAGAATATGATCGAGCTACAACATACCATCGTGCAAATGAGCCACATGAGAAATGTAAGGAGAAGATCGAAAGTGACGAAGAGGCAGAAGAAACGCCTGACGTTGGACATTTTGCCGTTGTGTCTCGCTCCCGCGATCAAATCTTCGCTGAAGACAATATCCGGTGTTCGTGTCATACTATGCTGGGTAACTGAACTTCTTTGAGAGTTGATGGAACCACTCAGTATGGCCTCAGCAGCCATCCTAATTTGCCTCTCATCTTCTGCCATTCCTCTGATACACTTCTGAAGTCGTCGTCGTCGTAACGTCGACCTTTAATATAACAAAATGATTTATTTATGTGTGTTAATATATAGTTGTAATAGTAATACTTGTATGTTTCTTCATTTTAATCGCTTTCTTTACTAATAAATACTATGTGCATAGCAAACATTTATAGCATTGTTGCATGTATAAATGAATTAAAATAAATATGCAAAAAAGATATATTTTATTTTAAAATTTCAAAGAAATATTGTTGAAGTAATACCTATTTGGAAAAAAGTCAATGTTTTTTTATATAAATTTGTTGTAATTATTAACTATATTATTAACTATATAATTATTCATTTTACAAATGAGCAATAGATTAATAATTAATTTTACAAATGAGCAATAGATAATTTGCATATAGAACAAAAATATGTGACAAAAATATGATAAAAAGTTAGAAATTACATAATCATAGAAAACTAAAAGTTATATTACATATTAAAAAGTTATATTACAATTTTTAGTACACATACAGATATATAAATAATGTAATAATCGTGGGATACAATTTTATTCTTTATAAAAAAGATGCACATTTTCCCTTAAGATCTAAGTGACAATCTTATCTTTTATTCGCTTCTTTAAAATTTATGATTTATATTATCAGATGTTAATAAAAGATTTTTGGCATTATTGTATTTATATATATAATTTTTATATCTATATACACAAAATATATCTATGCTTCCAATTGTGTGCTATCAAACAAGATTTTATATCAAATTCGATAACGTTATGTACACAAGTATGATAGGAAGTATGATATCATACAGTACTTTATGGTATCATACAATACTTTACTGTATGATAATAAACAATATTTAATCTTTCAATGAAGTCTTTTAATAAGTCTTATGCAATTGAAAAAAATTATACTTGCTTAAAGTATGATGTGAGAGTATTAAACATTACATATAAATTCTCTTGAAATTTAATGTAAATAAAATTTATAAAAATGAAAAAATGTGTCTTTAAAAAATTATTTCTTTTTATATGTATTTAATTTATAAATCTGAATTATTTCTTAACAAATATCATTCATAAATCTTTGACTTTGTGCATTGATTTCCTGTATAAAAACTCTTATCTTCTCTTTTCATTTATTTTTAAATTTTCTCAAGCATTAAAATATTATAATTATTTTATATAGAAAATTTAAATATTTTAGTAGCTATTACACACACAAACACATATACATATAAGATAACGATGAGATAATTAAAGTTAATCATTATATTATCATGCTTTAAATTTAAAAAATTAAAGAATGAATGATTCTTTTACATAAAATATGTGTCTGTATTTTGTGTTGTGTGTGACTTCTACAACAAATTCTTTTTCAAGAATTTCGCAACTGAAATCAATGATAACATATCACCGCAATAACAGATTAAAGCAAAATTCATGCCTTATGAAAGATACATGATTCTTTTTTATTATAGCAATTAAAATATTTAATTAAAAAAATACATCATCAAATGTGAAAATATTAATCATAGGTTTACTGTAAGATTTTCGTCGATTGATACTTTAATTGGATATTTAGTTTATTTTTAGGGATATATTTTTCATCATTATTTTTTCTTATATTTGGGTGTGTCTTTTTCGTTTTATCCTATTATCAACACACACCCATTTAATTCTACTATATAGAAATTATCTTTTGAAAAAGTAGAAGCTACATTATAAAACAGATATAATACTTATGTAATATATATGACTTTGGATCGAACATATTTTTAACATAAATTGATTGAAAACAATTTAGGAAAAATATTTCCTTCGATACGCAATATCAACAAAGGTTAACTCGACATTCTAACCTCAAAATCCTGTACGCAAATGTTTTGATTTCACTTTACTTCGTCGAGCGATGCGTACAAAGGAATTTTGAAGATCGACGAAAGAGCGAATCTCGCATATTTTCGTACGAAAAGACACATGTTTACGTCAAATCGAGCAACACAAAGGCGAAGAGCACCGCCGTATCGCATGGCCGATTATTTCCGCTTTCACTTTTTTCCTTATTATATCCCTTACCGTTTCGGATCTGAGAGTGCTCATAGATACTGATCGTCCAGTCGAATTGTTTAACGAAACAATGTCACGCGCGTGTATCACACGAGATGCAGACACCTCGGCCACACATCACTGTATCCTATATCGTATCTCGTATAATCGCGAAATATAAACAAGTAGCAAGAGGGAACAATGACGTTTCTTCAGCGTCGTATACATATATATATATATATATATATATATATGTATGTGTTGCGTGCGGGCGCGTCTCATGTCGAGCGCGCGTGTCAACGCACCTTCTTTATAATTTAATTAATTTATAAATTAGTACACAATTATAATTTAATAAATTTATAAATTAATTTATACATCAATAAATTTATAAATTAATAATTTAATATGAGATATATAAATATGTATATCACGAAAATATAAAATCTATGGCGCACAGCATATTTTTTCTACTAGCTATAATGCGTTATAAAAAATGTAAATATATATGTATGTCCAGAAATTGCAAATATATATGTGTGTCTAACAATAAAAATTAATTAATTCTAGCATGAAAAATGCATAGGATGCCTAAAATATAACTTTACAAAATTATACACAATACATTATAAGGTTTTTTTTAATGAAAAAATACATTTTGATTTATGAAATTAAGTGAACAGCAAAGATACAATAATATAAAGTTTTTGTTCTAAATTTATATGAATTATAAAGTACTTTAAAAATATGTATATAAAAAATAGTACAGCTTAGTGTTAAAGTTTGTTCGGATTGGCTTATAATACTAAAAATAATTTCATATAAAATATTCATATAGATACATATGTTATATATATCCATGTTATCTTACATTAACAATAGTAGGCAATATTGGGCATCTTAAATATATCCTTATATACATGATCATGTTCCTAGATATATCATTTATTTAAAAGACGTGGATGTTAAAAATGCTCTTCACTTTGACTCACAATCAAATAAATCAGATGATTTATTTGTATTATATTTATTTATATTATATTTATATTATATTATATTTATATATTTATAACTTTATGCACATTCAAAAAATTTTTACATTAAACTTATATACATATAATACCTGAATATAATATAAATAAATATTTCCATCATTTCTTTCTTACTATAGACATGCATAAGATTGATTCCATTCTTTTATATATTAATGTTCTATAAATATTCTTCCCAAAAAATTATTTTTCATAAAAAATACGAAACATGCGAGAATGTTATTTACATGATCACAAATTATCATATTTATATCAATGCTATAAAATACTTCTTCAAAATTATCCTAACAATCGTTTCAATCAGGAAGAGTGATAGTTCGCAAAGAGTCTTCGGGAAAAGTTGCTATTTCCGCGACAGTGCCGAAATTAAAGGGAACTGCTATTCCACCATCGAGAACTAAACCTGCATCAAAACACTCTGATCTTATGGTGATTCTTTTACAAAAACCACGAGGATATATGCGCTTTGGAACGGACACTGCATCAGTCATTATCATATCTCTTATCGAATAACATAGTTTGGAATCCTCTGTAAGTAAATAAATAAATAAATAAATAAATAAATAAATAAATAAATAAATAAATAAATAAATATATATGTCTATATATAATGTATACATATATATTAACTAAAATATATATTATAAATGTATATATATTTGAGTTATTGTAACAGTACATGTGTGGTACTAACCTGCATTAAACCGTAAGTTACTATTGAATGTTGAACAAATCGTCTCAATTTCGTCATTAGTAAATTGCCGCTTGGTATCTATGAGACTTAATATTTCTCGCGTAGTTTGGTAACTCAGACTGTTTATAGATTTATACCAAGATGTTGATCCTGTGCCAGTGCTTACGCACAAACCAGAGCCTTTTACCTTTTGATACTTTTGCTCTTCATTTAACTTTATGAACAAGGAACTTGTTCGTGCAGATAACGTTTCTCCCATGAAAACCTAACAATGAAAATCAGGCCTGAGATAAGAATAAAGGAGCCAGTCGTATTATTCGACTATTAATGTATGTATATGTATCGAGGAATATCGATTAACTCACTTCATTAAGTGCCAACCAAGGTAGACGCCTTTCTTTTGGTAATTTATTAGGATTGCCTTCAAATATCTCATTTACAAAAAACCTATAAATAATAAGTACATATAAATTATTAAAATTATTAATTAGTATAATTATTATAATAATTATAAATACAATTAATATAATTATTAAATAAATTATTGCTTTTACGGTTTGAAAAATATCATTAAACAATTTAATTAAAACATGTTTTAATAAAATTAATATGTATTTTAATATGTGACGTGCCTCTCACCACCTGCAATGCGTCCTTTTTCGTGCATATGAAAAGGAGCTTTCCATATTTCTTCTCCTTTCAGAGTGGTCCGAATTCTTCTTCGCATGAGTATATTGTAATGTCCTGTTTTTAGCATTTCAAAAATCTCTGCTATGTTTCTCGTATATTTTGCCGGTAACAGAAGGTAACCTTCTGACTTCTCAGGATATGAATTGATGCCCATTATAGGTTTCTTATTATCAAATATTAAATTTGAAGCCAAGAGAAATGTTCCATCACCGCCGATTGGCAGGACTAGATCCGTCCATGCAAAATGCGATTGATCTAAAGTTGTTCTGAAAATATATGATACACATTTATTTTATAATACACATTTCTACTTCAATTTGAAGTAAAAAACTTTGAGTTATTTATTCAAATTAATGTACATGTAATCTTTATAAGTCTAGAAAAAGTGAATAATGTATAAATTCTACTCTTGCTAAACACTATTATATATATATATATATATATATATTTTTTTTTTTGTTTGTTAAAGATAGCTTACCTATCTATTATCCTATATTCCACATGCATCTTCCGCAAGATTTTGATTACTTGATCTTCTACAGCTTTGGTGGCAAAATGGCTAGCAAGCATAGCATCATAATCGGAACCTCTCTCTATTAGTTTTAATTTCAGCTGGGTTTCACTGAGCTCGCGTTCCCGTAATCTTTCAAAATGATATCTTGATAATTTCGCCACAATAAGTACCTTCTTAGGCACAAAACTTGATTCATTTCGGTAGAAAATACATAGACCTTTGTGCGCATGAATAGAATGAGATTGTAAAAGCTGCAATGTTCCTGGAAAAAAAATCATGTCAGACATTAATCTTTAAACTAATCTTTAAATTTGTCTTTGATTATAAACATATTGCAGCTAAAAGATCAATTTTAAATATCAATAATAGAATTCAGTAAATATAGAATATCTTCAAAATATGTAGCTTTATCAGTGAATTTTGCCATTTAATGAAAGCATTTAAAGATATATAATTTGGAAAGAATACATAGACATGTAAAAATATCAAATATGTAAAAAAAAAATACATTTATAAAAAGAAAAGACGTTTTAATATTCAAACATATTAAATTCAAATATATATAAATAAAATATCCAGTTTTATAAATACATAAAGTGGTTTTTTTCAATTGCTTTACCTTTAACTTGATCATTTAACCAATTCTTATCTTTAAAAGATATGAAATAGTTGCCTAATCATATGTGATAAAAATACAATTAGAATTGCAAGGCAGTTGATACCATCATAAGTTAAAATATTATTAGAACATGCTCTTTCCTGTACAATGCATCATATATAATAAGCAAATGTTTCTATTTATAAAATTGCACTATCTTTTACATTTAGAAACTATACATTATACTTGATTTAGAAAGATTGTGTTATATTAAGGCTACCTCAGGCTATCTCAGGTTATCACATTGACATAATGCGCAATTATATCTATTGTTTCAGATAAATTTTTTGCTTAAAATGGAAAAGATACCCATTCAAGCTTTGCCATTAAGGAAGAAATAAAACGTGAAAAACATATATGATAAGATAAACTTTGTGTACGCATGATTTTCTTTACTTTCCATTCCTTTTCTTACTCCACATTGATAAAATTTATTATTAGACGTTTTCAAAATATATAATTGTGTAAATAATATACGATATAAAATATTCCTAAAATTGTAGAAAATATAGGAAAAAAACTGAAAGAAACCACTGCGGTAAACAATAGATTTTACAATTGAGAATTGTCATGCTTACTGGCAGTTTTACGAAGATGATTGAAAATCGTCATCGCATGATGATCGAGCTATCCTGGTGTGTAATATCGAATTATTGCGAATGACAGATCGCTCTGAAAGTTCTGCAAAACACTCCTCTTCCTTCTCGCTTTGAATGACACCGAATGATTATATATAACTTTTTCCCACAACGCGAAACTTTCAATAGACATAAGGTGGCGTGCGATATGCTAAACAGCTGTTATCACAGAGCAATTCAGCTGATTGGGTTGCATACCGATCCTCGATAATAATGGACAATTTTATATAATAAATTCTTTTGTTAAATTATAAAAATAACATGTAATATATTTATATATTTTTAGATGTAAAAATTTATTTTTGCGTAAGTGTCTATAGTCGGTAAAGCAGTTTTGGAAATTATTTTCTATGATAAAATTTTATTAATGAATTTATTAATTTTTACAATTAATATATAAATCTAAACACATTTTGGCTGCACATTTTCCGAATTTTATTTAGTTCATTGAAAAATTGATAGTGATAAAGCATTTGCGATTCTAATTAAAATTATAAAGAAATAATTGTTTCTGAAAATCATACCACGAAATATAATATATATATATATATATATATATATATATATATTTATTATATTTTAATATATATAATATATATTAATTAAATATATTACCTGAGAAAGATGATTTTGTGTACTGACGTCGAATTTGAGTACGACGAAATGAATCTCACCTTTTTGTCAGCAGCGATAATACAAAAATTCATATCTTCCACACTTGTCAATAATATATGTCACTCTCTTGTATTAAATTTATTGGTATAAAATAAAATATTGAGTTGAAATTAAATAAAATCTATAGATATAAAACAAACAAATTTTACATTAATTTTTTAATATTTTTCAGAGTAAATATATATAAATTTCTTTTCCTAATTAAAAGATATACAAGAATTTAAATATCCAACTATTGCATATACCATACTAACGTTAAATATTAGAAAAATAATATGTCCAATAAAATTTCGTTAAAATGCAGTCCAAATTAGTAAATATACTTGCAAAGAAACGTTGTAAAATATCATTTTTGTAAACAAGTTTATAACTTCAATAATTTTATATCTCTTATTATATACTAAGGTGTGTCAGAAAATGTTCTACTTATCCAAAATTTATTATAGTTGTGTATAGAAAAAAGTCGAACTGTACAGATACACGCTTCGCTTACACTTTATTAATTCATTTGCAATACATTAATTAAGTCTGTTTAAATAGTATCGAGGTTACCTAACGTATGCCTTCGTGTATACTATAGACAATCATCTAACTTAAATCTCTTTCTCTCTCTCTCATTTTCACTCGCATACATGCATCTTCATTTGCCTTTCTCTCTTTTTCCTTTCATTCTCGCTCTCGCTCGCTTTCTCTCTTTCCATGTATTTTCTTCGTTTCATCTTTATCCGCTCTCCATTATAATCGATATCAGTTATTATTACTGTTATCATTATCTCTCTGATTTTATCATTATATACTATATGTATATATACTATATATATATATATATCGTAAGATCGACGTTTAAAACTAAAATTCGTATAAAAAGCGTCGTTATACGTACTAACAATGTAACTGTACTATTTAAATAATAATTAAATTTTAAAAAATTATTTTTGTTGTGTGTGTCGGTTTGTCGTTTCAATGTATGAGATGTCTAAACGTATCGGCTACTGTATGACAATGCGAGGCGCGGCACGGCGTGTCTCTTTTGTAGAAGAACAATCGGTAAGATCGACAAAATGCCCCATATAATCTGCGATCTAAATTTTTTTTACATCAGTACATATATGTATATACATATATATACGCATACGAATACGCTCTTTTTCTCTCTCTTTCTCTCTGATTACAGTCGATCTTATCCCTATTACGAAGGGCAATGATCGTTTTTATTACTATTTCTATATATAGAGTGAAATTACGTGACCGTGCAGAATCCTTATCATCATATGTCTGCAAACTGATAAATCAGAAAAACAAAAATAAAAAAGAAAATCAGAATTTTTTTCATCATTTAAATTAATAACGCTGAATATCACGATGGATCTCAAAATCCAACACAATTTATAACACCATGTGGATATGAATGATCATTACTATCGAATAATAATTTGAAAGATTCTAAAATCATAAAATCTTTCATCTTTTTGCTAGATTACATACGATGGACAAGTTTTTACGAGTGAAAAAAAATTATTTCCCAACAACATTAGGACGTCACAAAAAATTCATAGTCATCGCGCAATCTCAAAGCGATCTTACCGCATGTTCGTTTCTCAATTACGACGATGAGACGTCGCTGTTTCAATCGCACCCTGAACGATATATCAATTAATTTTTACTTCGTAAATCGCTCTCTTTTGCCGCTCAATTATACTCTAGTTAATACTTTAACACACTACGAATGTTTTTTTCCCTTTAAACAGTAATCATTTTAGCACGTCACAACACTACTGTTGAACTCTCCCTATCCTCTCCAATTCTCCCTCGTTATTTACCAGCTATTCGCTATTACGAGCAATAATGTACATCAATTACATACAAAACAAGATACAGTGTGAATGCTCTCGTTACATCGTCGACACCGTCTCGCGTAAAATGGTCATACTTACAAAGGTACCACGGTTGATTATAATTGAAGAAACTCTCACTAATATCCGACCCATCTATCGTTCGCAGCGCAATATATCTCTTCGCGTTTATTCTCTATGTAGCGACACACTTCGAAGATATTTTGCTGTGAAAGATGATCGACGCCAATCGTCGTCCTTGGAAAATTCCACACAAACGAGAGAGAATTTAATGCGCAGGATTTAATCGTCGGACTTGGCGCGGCCAAAATTGCGATAATTCTTATTATAATAATACTACGCATCATCACGTGGTGAATATAAATCTAGTTTCTCAATGACAATCAAAACACAATCACGTTCATGACTCTCGAAGGAATTCATTTTTTTTGAAGGCGTTCGTCATGCAATATTATGCACTTTTTATACTGCGTTACATCCAGATAATTTCTCACGCTGATCGTATATTTTTTCGGGATGCGCCAACTAGCTTTAACAATTAAACAATAATTTTCGGTAATATCATCCCTGAACGTCTAATTTTGTGTCTGTATGTGTATATATGTGTGCTGATTCGCATTTACAACATTCATTCACTTTACGGCATTGGATGAATGAAAAATGGGAAGCCAAAAGAACATTGCATCTTACGAACAATACTTCCGCGTGCCAAATTTAATATTATAATCTATTTCATATCTACTTAATAAATATCTGTTTAACGTAATATTAATGTGATGCGAATCTCTTCAACGGCAGTGGAAGATTTTGCATTAGCACATATATGTGCGTGCGCTATTCAAAACAGAAAATTTTTCTTCGTATCGCGTAAAATTAAACAAACGAAAAATTCTAAACAGACTTCACATTTTTCTACAAATGACATTTTCCTCGATGGATCGTTCATATGCAGAGTATGCAAAGGTTCAACACATGTTTCATTCCGATTAATAATCGTTGCCTACATTGAACAATAAATCGCTGAACCTCGCATTTTGAAATATAATTATAATTATAATAAGTTTGTCTATATTAATTTGCCAGATCTGCGAATCAATATAACATTCATAGAATAGAGACTATGTTCTTGTTTTAAAATACTGATGCGTGAAAATATAAATATCTTCTTTCTCTTTGTCATTACAAGTTTCGCTCTGTGTACTTCGTGTATTCTTTTTCATATATATATATATCTGTAAGAGTTAATAAAATCCAAATGCAAAGAACGTAGAAATCAAAATAGTTCTGCGAAACGGTGTTAGGATATTTTTCTTTAATCCAAACGTCGATTTCCATTGTTCTGTCTACTTCTACAGTTCGAATAATACCCTTACCTTACGTGCTCATTTGTGGGCAAAGGTGATGTGTGAGTGTATGCATGTGTACGTGTGTGTGACGTGTATAATATATGTATATATATTTTTGTGTATACATATACACACTATATTCATATTTATATATTTATATATATTTATATATATAACTTCTCTTTCTCACATTTATTACTTTGCAAAATATTTCTTCTGCCAACGACGCGTCGGCATTTAAGCCTGTATAATACAATCGCAAATTACACTTAGTCGCTTAGGCAAAATGTTCACTTGTTTATCGGTAAGTACAATGACCATTCGCATTACTCCACCCCGATCGGCGGGGATCGAAACGATGCGCTCTTATCTGATTAATCACGTCGATGTCGAGAAGTTCTCTCGTTTATCGCAGACCAAAGATCTCGAGACCAAAGAAGTACGAAGAAGCTTCTCGCACTTCCCTTTACCAGGATTCGTTAAACCGGAGCCGAATGTCCGATCGGCTAAGAATGTATAATACTTTACAATGAATAAGTTTTCTCACGAAACTGCGGTCCATTGTGGTACTAACGAGGAAATAAAATACAGAGACACTCGTATATGTCTCGTAGTATATGCATATAATATCGGAGCATCTTATGAAACGCGATTACAACGGAGAATGAATGATACGATGACGATAGTGTATCCAGCGTTCGCAGCGATTATTATTATTACAATGGAAAATTCGATCGGCCGCTAGAACGAGGCCGACTAATAAAAGTAGCTCGGAAGTAGAGGGGTGGAGTCAGTCTCTCTTGACGACGACGACGACGACGACGACAACGACGACGACGACGACGAACGACAACGACTGTCGGTTTATCGCGCGATGATGTAGTGCGTATCCTAGTAGTAGAAGTGGGCAAAGCTGTTGCAAGTGTTGCGCGAACGTACCGAGCCTCAGCTATGCGTTTGCGGATGCGGGGGTGGCGCGCCGGTGATCTCGGTCCAGCGCATTTCGAAGAAACTGCGCATCCCGTGGCCGGCCTTGCCCACAGGACTGTCGTCCTCGTTGAATACCTCGCAGTTGATGAACATCTGCCTGACATCGGCGCAAAACTCATCGCGAGACTTGTACCTGCATCGAGAAGCACTCGTTGTGAAAAACTTCAGCCTTCCAATGCCGACCAAGGTTGACGATGATCGGTTAAGGATTTTTTTGCGATCGATCTGTGTGTATTAGCTCTACTAAGTCTGTCTTAAAGACCGGGATGTGAGTTTGAGAGGAAAGGCAGTTAAATATAGTATTTTCAATTAATTAATCGCTCTGGCGCGTGTGTTGGGCAACTTACGCAGAGTCCTGCAATTTCTTCTTAATCGTACTGAGATCCATGGGGGTTTTTATGATTTTCTTGTAGGTCGGGAACTGTTTGGTGTTCACCGGCAGGAGGAACGGCCAGGCCTCGTCCTGCTGCTCCAACTGTTCGAGGAGTATCTTACAAGGCGCCAGCTCTCGTTGTTGCTTCTTCGTGAGCGTCCGATTGTTACCCTCCTTCCGTGGCGAGGCGGTAGGAGTCGGCGGTTCCGACGAACTGACGTCCTCTACGTGCGTGTTCGATGCCGTTGACGGCGTTGGACTGCGGCGCAAAACAACAGAGAAATTATTTGCACGATTAACTTCCGTTCTGCAGGAGGTTTCCCGTCATAAAAAGCCTCTCTCAGGACGAATGCGCAAGGACGAATCGCATATAGATTCAATCGTGTGTCCGGCTGAGACGGGTACGTTGCTCCCGATGAAATATTTGCGTTCTCTCTTTGACTCTCTGTCTCTCGTTCGCTCTCTATTAACTTTTTTCGTTTTTTATATTTTTTGCCCTCTTTCGCCCTCTCTCATATTTTTTCCGACTCGTCATACACGATCTGAAGGCGGCTCTACTGTTATACGACGAATTTTTCTGATAAACTACCCATCCCACAGTCGACGATCGCAAGTACATTAGACAACAACGATGTATTATGAATGTACAGGGTGTCCCGACAAAGAAATCTGAGAAAATAATATTGAAAAAAAATCGAAACCCACTGCTCGGAACTCGGAAAAGCTATCAAAGCTATTTATATATATGTATATAATTGCTTCTAAATAAACGAACAAACTGGGATCTAACAGCTTCTTGTGGAACACCCTGCGTGAAAAGTAAAGTTCCTCAAGACGACCAAAATTCTCGGCATTATAGCGTCACGAAGCCGAGGCTTAAGTAGTCGGTAAATCGCATGAATACATTGTATACAGATAGTTCGTTCATTTTGTGAGATTGCTTTATTCAATCGGGAATCATATCGTTCGCTATTTGCAGTTCGTTAAATATTATTGAATCATTATCTCATCTCCTGGCTTTTTTTCTAATTTCTAATTCGCACGGAACGTCATTAAGTCAGCGACTTGACAATGTTTGTTTGTTTTTAACGTAATCACCTAGCTGGTGGATGATCAGAACTTTCACTTTCTCTGGTACCTCCCCCTTTGGTATGACTCCTTCGACTACTATTTCTCTTCTTTGGTTGTTTACTGTGGCAATTAGAGCAATACCATTTTCCTCGTGGCATCTGTAAAACGCAATAAATACATTGAAAAGTCTGCCTGTAGATGTGCGAAAATTAATTTTGATCGGATAATGAGATCTTTGAATATCTCTATAAAGATATATATTTGATGATTACTCACTTTTGGCATGACAGGATTATGGCAGTCGGTATGATAAGCCCTGGGACAGAGTTCACATAGGACCAAGTTTTTACCCACTCTTTTTCCGCATACTAAACAATTACGTTCACCTGTCGCTTTGTTCATACACTCGTGACAATACCTGAAGAAGTAGTAGAAAAAGTTTGAGTGAAACTTTCAATTTCAAATAAAATTATGATTTACTATATTCTAAAGCAAGATTGCCGTCACTCACCAGTCACCATCAGGAATGTTTTCCATTTTTGGACGGAAACAATAAGTATGATAGCCACGGTCACAGCCATCACAGAGCAGTAGCTTATCTTCGTTGTCTCCACTATGACAAAACTGGCAGTTCTGCAACCGAAATAAACTCCTCATTTAAAAGGGAATAGAAGGACTTGAAGGTTTCTCATGTGGTAGAGCTAAAATAGCATGAAGATTATAGCATTTTTTGTTAATTAAATATTTTTAATTCAAAGCGCACTAACAAAGATCTATAACTTGTATGTATCTAATTGGCACAATGCAAAACATAATTATGAATAACGTTGCGTAAAAATAATCATCATTAAAGCTTAATTAATGAATTTTATATACAGTAACATATTCAAAATAATAAATGCCAAGTACTTTTTAGTTCTGACATTTTTCAGTCTAAATATGCTATAGGCAATCATATAATGAACACAACTTAAATCGTGCCAATAGAAATGTGAGCCACAACAAATGAATAACGAATTAATTATAAATGAAACAAAAATAGCAATGAGATTTTTCGGAATGCACTAGAGGACTTGAAAAAAGCAGGCTGAAAGAATGATGCGAACGTAAAGTCGAAAACAAAGACATAAAATTAATAAAAAAAAGAAAACGAACACAAATAGTAAGCGGCAGTTTTGCATGCAACCGTTACGTTAGACTCTGACCACCATTGAACGTACATTCTTTAGCATTTATTCTCCAATTTTCGTTATGCAATTTATGCATATATATATACGTTATGCAATTTATGCATATATATACGTTATACGTTCCAATATTCAATTCACGAATAGGACTCATCCAACAGACGCGCGGATCAATTTCGGTTTATCAATTGCATTCGCATAAATTAAGCAAGCGCGTCTCGCGCGAACAGAGCGAAATTCAACGGATGTATGCAAATTTCATTGCCATATTCTTCGCACACGTGACAATATACATTAGAATTTTGGAATGAAATTGGAAGCGGATGTATTGTGAGAGCACAGTCGCAATGAGAAGCGTATCGTTAGGCTCGGTCATCGAATCGAATAGACACCTGTCAATATCCATTCGAAGCGACGACGTACGCTCTCTCTGTGAGCCATCGAACGGGGAAGAGGACAGGACAGGAGGACAGTATTATAGGAGGTATTATAGAGGAGTTAGGAGCAGAGCAAAGGACGATTTCGGTTAGTAAGTTAGTGCGAATACCCACAGAGGTCTGAGAAGTAGTCAATAGCTGTTTGTACTGATTGGTAGCTTTGAGTGAGACGCAGCGGTTTCGTAGCTTGGCGCAGACCGACTTTCTAGCTGTTGTTAGACTCACAGCCTTCATGATGCTCTTGTCCCAAGCGATGCTGGCCTCGAGCATGTAGAGCGCCATGGCGAGTTGCGCCGATGTGTGCGCTCGCGCGGTTGCCTCTCGCCAGGTGTTCAGACCCCGTGGTGTCGTTTCCTCCGGTGGTGCTGGCGCCTGGTTATTCTGCTCCGAGTTATTCGAATTGTTTGCATGAGCGGCCGCCGCCTGTTCCGCCTTCAGAGCCGCCAGGTTGGGATCTCCGGTGCTACGCAATTATCAGTTCAATTATATTATAGATCTCTGACTCAGAGAATTTCATTCAAATATTAATCGATTGTTTTAATAATATTAATAAAAGTACTAATAATCGAGGCATATTAATAATCATCTATAAATAAAGACTTTTTTCAAAATACACAACTTTTTTTTTATTACCAAGTGTCATAAAAATTATACATATATATTTATAGTATAAAATCAAAATGATAATTAAGAAAAATGATCTTACCATACGCCTAAAGGTGGTTTCAAATATCGTCTTTCTATAGCCGCCTCCAAGGAGAGTAACCTTTGCCGTGCCTGCTCGACCGCGCTGATCTTCTCCATTTCGTTCAACTTTTCAATTTCTTCGGCTTCCTCAGTTCCCGCTCGCGGTGGTAGCTTCCAACCTTTGACTTGCATGCTGGCGTTAGCCACTTTGTCTTCAAGGGCTTCCACTTGCTCTAAGAGCTGAGCATCTACGCGTAGCGCAACCTGCTCGCTCCAATCGCTCGGATTATCCGGCTTCGGAATTAGCGTATTGGGACCATCCGGTTCCGCTTGAAGTTCAGTAGCGGCCATGTTGCCAAGATCGACATTAATTCTACCTGTTACAGCCAAGAAAGACTCCATTGTCGCCCATGTTGTGCGCTTCAATTCCTTCTCACGGACGCCGCGTGAATGTAGATGCTCGAGGAGTTCTTGGAACGTATCGATGTCTGTTATCCTCCACCAACCGTATCTCAAATCTGCAAAGTTGTTTGAAAAATTAGAAAACACAATCACATATCTGTGTATATATGTATTTGTATTTTTATTTTATTGTTCACGAATTAATTTACCTTTCGGTACTGGTTTGGCTTCACCGGGAGGCGGTAAACCGTGCACCTTCAAATATTCTAATTGCACTGCTTCATCTTGAGTCAGAATCAGAGGCGCTGGACTGTCGCATCTATCGTAATTCGGACTTGCTGGCGGCGGGAATACGGGGATTCTCAACTCGGTCGGCTCGGCTATACCAAAGATTTGCTTAGTACTAGGTCCCGGAGTATCGCACGTTTCTCGCGGTAAGATGGAAAACCAATTAGGCTCGGTATTGTTGCTGTCTGAAATAATCGACATAACTAACATTATTAAAAATATTGAAGAGTCTGTTCTACATTTCGGGATTTATAAAAACTCACTAGAAATGAAGGAACCGTTGAGTTCTTTCCCGTTGTGCAGGTTATTGATGTGGTTGAACTTGTCGCCATTCGGTATCGTCTCAACGATTTTATCCTCCATTGTCTTCACTAGAGGTTTCGACATATCTTCGTCCATTTCCTCATTCTCCTTCTTTATTTTCTCGGTTTTCATATCGACATCCATGCTCACCACCTCCGTCTCCTGCTTTATTTCCTCGGATGTGACATTTGTCTTCGCATCTGTCATCGTACCATCAACGTCGTTGTTCTTACTCTTTTTCTCATCTTCTACATTGTCGGAATTTCCTGAACCACAGTTTTGCATAGGCTCCTTTTTACAATTAATCTCCTCCACTTCAGATTTCACCTTGTCGTGAGATTTCATGTCTACATCCTGCTCGTTCGAATTGTGCTTCTTTTCATCCTTGACCTCGTTTGGAGCTTCATTCTCGCGATTTTCACAATTCTTGCTTTCGTTCTCTTGCTGCTTCTCCTCGGATTTCTCCTCCACCGGCATATTTTTGTACTTTTCGTCCAGCTCGGCTTGGAGATCGAGAATTTCCGGTTCGGCGCTTTCCATAGCTTCCACGAAGATACCACCGGCGGTTGGTAATTCCCAATATCTTCTCCAAAACCTGTCTTGACCGAAGACATGCGCCCGGAGTTGTTTTGACGAACCATTCAGCTTTTGCAATTGCTCCTCCGATTGCTTCAACAGTTTATCCAATTTCTTACCCAATTCTTCGCCGGATAGATTTTTGTCTTCCTCCTAAACAGGTTTAAATTTTGTTTTATATATATATACATATATATACATACAATACAAAATAAATTTTCAAATCGACTAAGTCAATGCTAATACCTCTTCCGGCTGAGTGCCTTCGCTCTCGTTCTCGGACATGTCTTCTACTTCATCCTCGTGATGAATCTCGTCCGGTGTAGGTGTTGTACCCACAGCAGTTGATGTAGTATTGCTTTCTTCCTCACCTTCCTTTTTCTCAATGGTAATCGTGTCGCCAATCTTATTCACAATGACGCCCACAGCTTCCATCCGGACTTTTCGACCATGTAATTGTCTAAGCCTGTGTAAATGTAAAAAAACAAAAAATATTATCAAAACGATTTAAAAAAAATACAATATTTTCTGTTTAATAATAATTTGATATTTATATATCTTTAAAAAATATTCTTTGTCATAGATTTATTAACATCTTCTAATATTATTTCAAGATTCTCAATTTCTGTTTAATTATATCTTCATAATGCAACTTACTTTCTAATCTTAGTGTCCAATACGAATCTCTCCTTCTTCAGCTGAGCTACTGTCTCTAGGCTACCCTCTATCTGCCTGATCACAGCCTTATTTTGCAGCAGCTCGTTACAGAGAAAAGCGAGCATCTGCGCTTTATGCGTCGGGTTCAACGCTAGGAAAGGCTTATCCCGCAATCTTTCCGACATCCTCCACGTTTCGTTGTTATGTAAATGCTCGTAGAACTGCGCGTTCTTTCCCGAGCAGGTTGAAGCGTAGTCGCCGCCGTTCTGATGATGATCGGCAAACTTCTTGTCGCGCTCGCGCTCAAGGCACACCCCCGTCAAAGCCTTCACCTCGCCAGTCGCGTTCGCGTACAGATAAATTCGCAGAACTTCGCTGATATTGGCATGAGTGATGTCAGCTTGACGTAAACTTTGACCTAAACCTGTGGTGTGTCTGGCCGGTTGCGGGATTCCTGGATCTTCGATGGCGCACACCAACAGATGCGTCATAACCGACAGCATCTCCTCCTCGGCTTCCTCATCGTTGAGGAGAGCGAGTTGAAGACTTTTCAAAGTTGGCAGCGATTCCATGTCTAGAAAAAAAGAAACGATAATGATGCGATGTATTTGAAATAAAATAACGAATGATCTTACTCTGACATGTATTTATTATGTTCATGTTAAAACATGTTTCTCACCAAAGCCCAAAGTCTCCCCGAAATTATGTAGAAATTCATAGACCATTATGATGTCCGAGAACGCTTGCCCGGAGAGTTTAAGTCCAGGTAATCTTTTGACTTCTGGCAGTGATCTGTGATCTGAAAAATTACGCCCTCATCAGTAAAAGATGTACAAACTTCTAAACCTACGCTACGTAGTAATGACAGTCTTATCATCACGAGATCGATCGAGTCTTTTGTTCGCGCACCTGTCAGCTCCATATCCTCGACGGGTTTGCGAATTTGTTCGATCAATTCCATCTCGATTCTCCTCTGCTCCGCTCGCTTCTCCTTCGTCGCTATTCTCTCGGCCCTGGCCTCCAGACGTTTCTTCTCCTTCTCCTCCATCTTTCGACGATTCTCCAATGCTCGCACCAGGGCCATGTGTTGCCTCCTTCTCTCCCTCTCCTACGATCATTATCCATCGTTATAATAATACGCACGTAAAATTAATTAGCGTACTCATGCAGATAAAATCGAATCAAGACAAAGTTGTACGAGGACGAATGTAATGTATGAAGATTCTCCGTTGCCAAAAAAGCGTAGTGTATATGTGGAGTGGAAAATCACGAAAAAAGTTATCTCTTTCTGAAATACTGGTTTAAAATATGGTGAGAATTTTGGAAAAACTTCCTTTAAAAATGATGAGAAGTTTCTCTTACGGAGAGAGTATGCTACACGTTCTTACACTTATTATGTAATGTCTGTTTAATTAAAGTAAATATTTTGATATACAAGTAAATATTTAATATACAAGTAAATATTTTGATTGAATGAAGAATACACAATAGTCCTCTTAATGATTTTCCACTCTGTATTTGTGGCACGCACAGGTAATAGGGCAAAATCTACTACCGTCCCAAATATTCTTTCACGCACTACATATTACGAACATTATCGTCAAACGGATGCACTGATAAATAATCAGATCTAGAAGAGTCGCGGATACCGCTTCTTACACCGCGAAGAGAAATTCGTGCAAAACAGATCTAGTCCGAACTACTCGAGCGTTTCTCTCCCAACAAATCCTGGAAGTTTTGAAAAATCTCAAGGAAACTTTCCAAGTACCATTAAGGGCACAAAACAAGCGAGAAATCTGTTTTTCCTAGCGCCGAACTTATTGTTAGAGCAAGGTCTGTCTTTTTTTTACAAGATGTAAGCTCGTGAACTGTAATGATTTGTGAAAGCCGAAGCTGGTGCGAATTGAGTAAGATGCTGACTTATTGCGTTATACAGACAAAGGATGATGTGCGTTAAACGTAAACACAAATCGCGTCCGTACAGAGGCAGAGATTACATTAGAGATTTCTAGCGGTGCTCGAGAAAATGCATATAACCGAGTTGTGCAGTTGACCGCAGTTTCGCGATGTAACGCAGAGAGCCATGGTAACGAATGGCAATCGTCAGATCGTATGTGCGAGTTAGTTGCGAGAGAGCGCGATCATTAATTCGTTAATATCGTTCCGTTAGAGGCTAGATTGGGTACATGACATACCAGCTCGACGGTGTAGAGCATCTCGCGCTGCTTGGTGAGCTCCTGCATGTACATCTGCGGCACAAAACACATCCACAATCCACTAGTGCTCTCAAAACACCGCTACGCTCCATCTAACAATCTTTCTCGCTCTCTAACGTATATAGAGACGTTTTCTCTATTCTTATCTTATTGTTCTTATCTTATTGTAGTGTATTATACAATTAAATCGTGTAGAGCGCAATCGATCTTCCTTCGCGACAAGATTGTTGGATAATGCGCGCAAATGTTATGTCGAATTAATTTTTTTCCGGATTTTGATAGATATGTAAAAGCGAGCGCGCTAAATGATAGTGAAGTGTCTCATCTTCATCTTTGCGAAATTACTCATGTTTGTCAATTATAATTCTAACAGCACACATATCCGAAAGGATGTCCTTTGGATATCCTCTGAACGTCCTTCGGATATGTTGTGCGCTGTTAGGGAAACTTATATAAGAAAATTTACTGCAGAATTATCGTGTATAGAAACTCTACAAATTTCTCTCCATTAAATGGAACTGGAATGTTTATTAATATAATTAAATATCATACTATAATGAAATTTCTAATAAACTCAACCTTGAAACTAAATAAAAATTGAAATTTTGCTTATTTACACAATTTAACTTGCAAACACTTTGTAATTTGTCATATATATATTATCTTTTAATTTTCTATTCACTAAAAAAGGATTCAACTCGAAATTCGTGTGTGATTAAAATTTATAATGATGAAGATTGAACATTCTGTATATGATATGCAATGACTTACACTTTCCCGAAAATGATATATTAATCGCATTAGCAATTTGATTTTTTCATGTTGATGAATATTGATAATATATAAATAATAAGTTAGATTGTTAGAGTTACAAATCTAAGATATAATGTTAAATCTTTCCAAGGAAATTTCTACAGTGTAAATTAAATATTAATCATATTAACGTGACACAAGTAAAATAATAGCCCTATACTCTTTGTATATAATGTTATGTATTAATTTTGTAAAAGTGCGTATCAATTTTTATATATAATTAATAATAGTTTAACTGCTTATATATTTTATATACATACTTTTTACTTGCAATTAGGATATTCAAAATAATAATAAAAACTCCGAGTTTCATGTTTTCAAAATAAGATACAATACTTCAAGATGCCACAAATAAAAGATGTTATTTTTTGTTCAAGTGTTTTTGGAAATAGGAAATAATACATATTTTCTAAATAAAAAAAATCGTAATATAAGATTTTAATTTATAAAAAAATAATATAAATAGTAAAACGTTCCAAATATTAAATTCTATTCTGATTTTGTTTTACAGATCATATTTTGATAATATTTATTTTTCATTAAATAAAAATAAAATCTTCGTAATTTTTAATTTGCGATATTTTTTCGAATTTGATAATTAAATGTTCAATAAAAAAACATTACTATAGAAAAATTGCATGCAAATTACACACAAAAATTCTATTACTAGTAAATACTATTTTGGGAATATCTTGTACAAGTAAAATCGAATTTATAAATGCAATATAGATTAATTTATAATTGTATTAATAATTCATATAATAATGCGTATAAAATATTCCGTTTTTCACGTATTTAAACTATTAATTTTCAAATATTCTCTTTCTCAATGAACAAAGCTTTTTTCCAATTTATTCCACTCCTACTCAAAATAGAAAATCGACTTCGATCTTGTATCGTAAAAAAAAAAAAAAATGGAAAACGACATAGACGATAAAAATAAACGGAACACTTCTACATCTACGACAGACACTCACACGCACACACACACACGCACACGCTAATCTACAGCGTGACGACACGATTGATGACGAATGGTTCATAATTAAATCACGAGAACTCACCTGTTCCTTCAGCATGACCGCTTGCTGCCGTTTTAGTTCTCGTTCCTGAGAAATTAAAAATTCTTTAATACAATTTTGCGGAAGCGCACGATAGTACGTGATCATTCGCGTTAACGTGAGAATTTGATATTTCACGGGGTAATCGAAGAAGAACAAGGGGGGCAAGCATTAACATAATAACGATTATTGAATTACCTGTTGCTTCCTTTGTTGTTCTTCCAGTCGCATCTTCTCCAACTCTTCCTGCCGTTTTTTCCGCGCCTGCGTACATGCCATACACACGTATCACTCGCATCCGTAATCAAGTTTTATCAAGGAGGAAACTTAGACAATTTTGTTCTCGTTCGCAGGATCATTCGAAATTTACGACAAGAGAAAGAGACATTTGTACGCCGGCGAACAAAGAAAATTATGATCTCTTTATCAGCACTGATAATTAGCTGGTTAATTGGACTTGCAATTAATATATCCTTTACTAATTTGTCATCAGCGACGATCGAGGGGATTGCAAGAGAGAGAACAAAGATGTTAACGGTTTGACTGCATCCGGTATAAAATAATTACATTTCGAAACGTCATGAAGTTGAATAAATTATTTACTCGCTAGTTTGGCCGATTAATTTCTACAACTCATAATTACAATTGTTTCTTTAGAATTATTATTTGATAATTATTGTCAAATTTTAAGGGAGCGAATCTATGAAAATTATATCTTATAGGATATAGATGCTATTCAGAGGACATTTAAATGTCAATTTTTTAAAGTTTTGTACTGAGTAAAGTTTGCAGAAACAACACATTATGATGATTCTCAAGAATTCATCTCTAGATTTACTTATTGCATCAACGTGGAATTTTCATTAACATTCATGAATCTATCTGTCTTGTGGATGAGATTAACGTCATTGATTTCTTTTTTAAAGTGTCCGTCTCGATCTTCGCTTTTATAATCTTCCCGATTTTACGATTGCATTTCTCGTTCCTTATTGGATGGAAATAGATATTCTCGTCGACAGGCAACCGGACGAATAGCTAGCTCGACAAGTTTTTTTATTCCTCTACGAGTTTTCATTTTGATTTCGTGACGTTCGTAGTGTGATTGTGATTCGAAGGCTACGTGTGAAAAGCGATGTCTAAATAGCACAGATCAATAACAGGGGGTTAAGCACTACTCTAGAATTCGGGAATGTAGTCGGAAATTAACATGTGATTGATTATATTCTAATATGACACATTATTTCAATTTGAAATCAATCTTTCCTTAATGCAAATTTTCGTCAATGGGTTTATTAATTTTTAAGCTGCTTCAAACGCTAATTCAAAAGTAAGATTTTTTTTCATATTTTTTACAATTATATATATATATAAAATATAGAATTAAAATTTTGTATATCAATTTGCAAAATTAAACTATGTCAGTTTTTTTTTACTGGGCCTTGAAATTGCATTCTTCCCGACTACGCTCATGCTAAATTCTAAATCTGTGTATCTCTACTCCAGGGAATGTAAGTTAACTTTTGTTCCCGCCGACTCGGCGATCCGATCATCGCGTTCTCGTGGATTCTTTTTATCATCGGATATGCTAGGCTCATCGAAATGTCGCAGCCGCGGAATAACGCTCAGTTTTCTACATACCGATAAACATTGCATATTAAATCAGCGCAATCGGTCCTCGCAAAAATCCTCGTATAAAGAGAGAAAGAAAGAGAGAGAGAATGAGAGAGAAAGAGTAGCAAAGGCATGCGAGATTTAATATAAAACTCCACCAAGAAAGTAGAGTGGCGCAATGTATATATTTATACGCCAATACAAGTAGCCAAGCATATAACGAAGAACGACTCGCTCGTGAATGATATATCTGTGAATGAGAACTCTCGACAGCAAAAACACGAAATTGTGAAGAAATAATGATATACTTAATTATTATATAAATAGAAGAAAGATTAGAGAAATAACGAGAGAGCGTTATATGTGAAAACCAACACCATTATAAAAGACCGTAGAGAAGTAAAAGAACACGTGGAAAAGTGAAAAACCTCAGCGTGCATGCAAGGAGCCAAGCAAATATACTCGCCTATGTATGCACATATTATATCAATGGTACGTATATGTACCATCGTTCAAAAGCTGATAAAACATTAGATTAATGTGTTGTTTCACCTATGAATATAAAATATAACAGTAGATAATACAGTATATAGGAAATATATGTATATATATATAATGCGTGTATATATATATTTATAAATATATAATAAAAAGAGTATATAGACGTATAATATATATAACAATTAGATTGAGTAAATATCACATTTATTACGCGAGTTCACGTGTCGCTTTTTCGTTCGCAGTACAATAAAAAGATAAAGGAAAGCTTTCAAATATATACTCGTGTAGCGAATATACTCGAATATACTCGTAGAGACAGGTATTCGAGAAATATGGCATGCTGGATAATCATGTAGCTAGCTGTTATTTTGTATAGTGACAGGAGAAGCTAGGCACAGGATAGCATTGCGACAGTCGGTTCATATATTATCATATTTATATATCGTGCCTACGTATATATATCGTCAGCCTTAACGTGCCTCGATCGCAGTGTCGATCTAATATCCCGTGATTCTCGATGGATCGCGCTTCTCCATCGTCGATTTCGGAAAAGATTACGCTTGCCAACGAGAACTCGAGATTGACACACACATCGATAGTTTCTCTTTACAATTTCTCGGCTTTCGGATTTCGGATTTCTTTTCCAGAAACTTATTTCTCTCATCAGAGTTGATAAGATTGGATCTATTTTTATCTCAATGTCAAATGCCTTCAAATATAAGATAATTATACGAACATAAATTTTATTAAATCGTCAAACAAACAAAAATCATAAATGCTAAAGATTAAAAACTCGAAGAGTGCGATGATAAGCACCTATTTTAAACAATATAAAGTCTATCCATTATTTTTCAAAATAATTCACGATCAAATTTCATTGATAAAAATATAATTGTTTTATTATTTAAATTTGTAGAATGTGCGAGAGTCTGAATTGAATAAATCTAATATCGAAAATATTAAAAACGAAATTCCGAAATCCGCTTGGGCCGGATGAAGAGATCGGTCATCCGCTGATCGTGTTCAATCCTACGGAAGCACGGTGGTGAGCATCTATATGCATGTATGTGTGTGTGTGTGTGTGTGTGTGTGTGTGTGTATGTATGTGTGCACGTGTTCTGTATTTTCCCGTTTTATCATTACGTAATGTAATAAGGTAATAAGTAGGCGGAGGTGCTCCGCGAGGTAATTCGCGCGACGCCAGTCACAGGCTCGTCTCTTCATCCCGGGCGATCCACGTCGAGAACGTTCGAGTGTTATAATGAGAGCTCGAAGAGAATCGTGAAATGTTATGACTAATATCGCGAAACTTCCGACTGCGCGAATCATGCTTGTGGCAACCGACGTTGAAGACTTTGAGAGAGAGAGAGAGAGAAAGAGACGGAATTTTATCCACCGACCTCAAACGTCAACTGGTAAATGCTTTGTTTTATATAGTTTCAAGCGCGAAAAATATATATATTTATCTCGATATTCGGAGACATTTTTTTCAACAATTTTCCGATTTTGTCGACTCTGATAATTTGTCTTTATTCGGACGATTTATGCTGCGACGATTATTCGAATACGCTAGGAACGCTGAAGAGACGGCGAGGACTGACGTGGAATTCGACGTTCCGCGTTGAGAAGCATTTCTAATTTGTTCCACCCAACGCAAATACACGTAAAATCGCGGACCGCGAACGGGTGTACTCACCCGGTTCTCTTACCTCCGGGGATCTCTTCGCCCTTCTCACAAACCGTATCCGGAAGATATTAAAGCCAAAAGGGGAGAGAAAGGGACATCCGGAAGAGTAATAACGAGACTCTCACAAGACAATATGACAACATTCATTAGTGAAACATGATGTGGAGATTCGATGAATGGGTTTAAGTGACGTATATAATGTTCGGGATTATCGAGCTATCGCGTAAAGGAGGAATAAATAGGGATTACGAGAGAGAGGAAGGAAGCGATCGGGAGGAGAAACAAGATGATTCGGGAAAGGAAGGCTTTCTCGGGGGATGCGTCATACGACATCTTACCTCTAGAAGTTCCTGGTTCTGCGTCTGAGTCTGTGCCTGCTGGATATTGTCCGGTAGCACATTAATCGTGGTCGTCGTGCCGGTCGACGTGGTGGTAGACGGGTTCAACGAGGAGGTGAGCGAAGACGCTGTCGGCTGCGTGGACGACGTCAAACCCGCCGACGCCGGCGGCAGGGTCAGGGTGGGATAAGGCGGCGGAGGCGGCGGTAGCACTACCGGCGGTACCACCTGGATCTGCGGCGGCACCACGACCACGCCAGGGACCACCGACGAGGGCGGCGTCGTCGTAATCGTGGTCGTCGTCGTCGTCGTCATCGCCACCGGGTTGCAGAGCGTCGTCGACGCGAGGGACGACGACATGGACGGCGGCGGCTTCTTCGACGGCACATCCTCGACGTCCGTCTGCTGCATCATGTCCCGGTTGCGCCAGCTCTCGGCGATACTCTCGCGATTCTTCCAGATGGTGGCGACCGTACTGCTCGCCAGACCCAGCTCGCGAGCCACGTCGCTCTTGCTCTTGCCGCGCTCGATCTCTTGGATGATCTTCATTTTCTGCTTGATCGTGAACGCGAGCCGCTTTCGACCCTGCGTTGGTGGTGGTTTCAGGGATGCCCAATATATAATCGATCGCGTTAATTGAAAGGAAGATTGTGGTCGTTTGAGAACGACCACATGCAAACCCCCGGCCGGTTCGCGGTCGATCGGTAAGGATCGGAATACGCGACGATACGCGGAGGTCACTTTACGCGAATTCAAAATCACGATAATAAATACATGTAGGATCAATTCAATAATACCAAGAGCACAATATTTCTTTCTCTCTCTCTCTCTCTCTCTCTCTCTCTCTCTCTCTCTCTCTCTCGTATACACAAGATGTATCGTTGTAAAGAGTATAAATGTTCTCTTTCCCAAGATTGAAATATCAGATTAAAAATCTGTCGTTATCGAATATTTTATGCAAACAAAATTAAACAATCAAATGATATAAATAAATTAATTCTGCAATTGCATATTAGTTTTTCCGCGTTCACATTAATTGCTTTAGTAATCGCGATTTTATGAACTCCGCGTACCACCTTTAAAAAGACTAAAGTATATAGAATTTCGATGAAAAGCTAATTTTCAAATACTATTAAGCACATAAAAGCGATTAATTACTTAAAAGGAAATATACGCGCGCGCGACGTACTTATTAATGATTATTATAAACACATTAAAATAATAGAAAATAACTTCTTCGACTAATTTCTCGAATAATGTTCAATACAACGTAACAACACAATAACACACATAACACAAAATAATAACGTTTTTAATTAACATCGAGATATCCTATACTAAATATTATGCCAATTAATTCATATCCCTCTAAATGCAATATGCACCGATAATGTTTCCCTCTACGTCTCAGGGAAAAAAACGATTAAGGATCGGTTATATACAATCTGGGCATCCCTATATTTCTCGCGCGTTCTCCACTACATGTGAGTCCACGTGTAGCTACAGTTACTACACACTATTGTGTCGTCTGACGTCTCCTTCAAATTGCACGGACTATGTGTGTATGTTCGGGCAAGTGATGTGCGTGTGGATGTGGAATGCGTGTGTGAATGCGAGGGAACAGATGAACGAACGAGTGACAGTGATTGAGGGGGACAGGATGGTAATCTGGCTTGCGCGAAGGATTCCGCGATGGGGTAGTTTTGGAGGACTATCACAATGGATGGACTTTTCAAATCTCTACAATCGCGCGTCTCTACTTCGTCGAGGTTTTTCCTTGCGTTAAACACATTTTCGAAATAACATCAATCAGTCTCTCTTTAGCTCGAGCAAGGATTCTAATATATAACAATCTATCCTTAGATACACGAGACGTTAATTCAAATAAAATTTCTTTTCTTAGACTTTTGGAATCCCAGTACCAGATGAGAAATATTTCTAGAAAGTTTTTTTTCAAATTTAATCTTGATTTTTTTACTTAATCTTGAATTTGTAGAAATAAATTCTGCTTTATATTATTTCGTCAAAAGTATAATTAATTATTTCGTAGTTATGAAAGGAGTACGAGTAATTGTACACTTTCATTCTTATAACTGACACATAGAAACGGAAAAAGATTTAATTAAGATTATAATTTTGACTAAAAGATAAATGTTGGATATTCTTTGAATGCCTTCTCGTAATGTAAACTTTCTTCTGTCAAAAATAATTCTCTATTACATACAATTACTTATCGCTATTATTCGCGATCAAACAGAATGAGCAGATGTAAAATACATCAACGGTATCTCTATTTACAAAAACATCAAACAGCATCGATTGAAAAACGCATGGAATTGTTTCAAAACACATCAAATATCGCGCAAAGAATTTTGAAATTCAAACCAATACTGGCATCCATATTAATTTATTCACGATTCCTACGTACAAAGTTAAAAAATTCTGCTTTTTGTGTATTTTCAAACATACGCCAAAAAGATGTAGTCATAAAAAATATAAAATTTTTTATTTCTCTTATTAAATTTAGATTAAAAAATTTTGAACAAAAAAATTTCAGCGTAATTATTATATCTATTTAAAAAAAATTTTTTTATAAATTCTTAATTGATAAAAAAATGAGTCGCGTTCACGTTCAGTCCTCAACAAATATTAAAATTAAACGCTCGGAGCTAACAACAATAATTTGTTGCGAAATTAAAAAAGGGTAAAGATGTAATAAAAGATAAGGGTGGGAGGACATGCTGGATTCTCCTGTCACTATCGCTAGCGGTTGTTTCGGTTGGCTATGGGTGTTTCGTGTGTCTTGGGACAACAGGGGTTGTAAGAGGGTCTTTGGACGGATATATAGTATAAGAGAGTTTTTCTATACAAGAATATTCATTAAAAAAGATCGTATAATATGTATATATAGACAGATGTATATATATATATATATATGGAGATAATATATATGTATATATAAATATATATATATATATATATGTAATATATATATAATATATATTATATATATATATATAATATATATATATATGAATATATAAATACGGCACACAGAGAGAGCATGCGACACGCACGACAGGTGGACAAAATACAAAAAAACGTAGGTATCCCAAATAGAGTAAGAGAACAGTTTTTTTTGTGTGAATGAAACAACGAGATCGAGACAAACGTGAAGGAAATTCGGCGATATACGTCGACTTACCTCGAGCAGCTGTTGAGTTCTGATCTCCCGTTCTCGTCTCACGGCTTCCTGTCGTTCCGTCTTCTCCTGCTCTTTAATAAGCCTACGGCGAATAAGAGTATCATTAAGTTCACATTATGCCCACAAGCGCTAAAAACGCTCGAACAAGTCATTTATCAAGTTTCGCTCACAACAACTATCTGTCCATAAATTTTACGAATCACGGAATCGAGTTTTGTAGTGTAATAATCTGCGTCTGGACTTTTATTCGCGATTGTACGCATGCAATAATCTTAAAGCCAAAAGAATTAATGTATATTAAACACTAATTAAACACCAATGTTGCAATCGCGAGATTTAAATAATAAAATCCGTCACAGCATGAAATAACGTTTTCATAGCGAAATTAGCATTTCAATAAAACTTTGATTTCCATTATATTATTATCGACAATCATTACTTTTATAAAACGATTTAAATCAAATAATATTTAATATTTGATTCCATCTTAATACTTAAACACCTTTCGTTTTCTACTTATTATAATAGAATTTTTATTAGGAAAATTTTGCAGTTTAATAACAACAATAAAAATCCGAGCATAATATGCATAATCAAATGTCTTACCTAAATATGCATAATCAAATGTCTTACCTAATTTGTTCCTTGTGTCGTAACGCTTCTTCCTTCGCAGCCTTCTTCGCATAAGCTAGCTTGTCTCTCTCGTACTGATTATTCATCCGTCCATCTCTGAAGCTATTAGACATTTTCAACTCCTCTAGTCTCTTCGCCACTTCTTGGGCGCCGAGTCTGACGAATTCGGCCTCCGCTAGACCCATTGTTGGCTGCAGGAATTCTCCGACCAACGGACGGGAAGAGAACGAGAAATTGGCGGTTGTTAACTCGGCAGGATTCTGATGCTCCAGAAACTTAAATCAGAAAATAAAACATCTTTCGAAAAGAGCCGAATAATCTGACCAATCTGACTTTTATCTTTTTTTCAATATAATTATATAATTTTCTTATAATAAATTTATATAAGTCTAGCAGCAGCGTAGACACAAAGATAATGAAAAAAGCATTAAGAGACAGTTTGGTAAAGTATTTCTGAACTTTCAACAATTTTATACGGAATCACTTTCGACAAGTACTCCATCAGCGGTTGTAATATGGTGCAACCAACCTTCACTAGATCGGGACTGCTCCTAAAAGTTTTCCCGCAGGGACTGTAATACGACACGTCGCCTTTTATCACTCCAGTCTTTCCCAGCCCCTTGATAACCGTTTCACGCTTCCAACCGCGCTCCAGCGGCATTTGAAGATCTCTCTCGCTGGGCCTGAGCTTTCTCCTTTTCGCGCTCGGTGTACCTTCTGCATTATCGTCATCGGTATCCGTGACAACATCAGTGTTACTGCCGCTCTCGCTGGTCACGTCCATATTGCTCTCCTCTCCCGAGGCCTCCAGTAACTTGTTTTTCATTTTCTCCTGCAAAGATTTCTATATAGGGAGAATGGTTTTAGTGCGAAATCATAAGTAAAAAAAAAAAGAAAAACGAACATGGCTCCTCGCCCACGAAGCACGAATTGGTCGAGGTCGCTTCTTCTTCTGTATCTTCGTTAGCAAGTGATAGTACTTTAACAAAAGATAATCCGTAAAGATGTGATAAAAATTAGATAATTACGAAAGTCAAAATAAACAAAAAAAAATTGATTCTTTTAATTATCGCAGCATCAATTGTAACGTGTCAAAATTAAGTAGCGACAGAGAAAAATTCGCTCAAATTCCATCGTGTTTGAGTTTTACCTGGTGTTTGTCATCATTCTGGCCGACGGTCACGGAGTGCATTTGATGCGCCAGTATATTCGTTTTCAGCAACGACACTTGATGGGACAATGGCACACTTGGATCCAACGTCGGGGTGGGTTTAATCCCTAAAGCTCTGCTCTGAGCCAGCAACGACGCGACCGTGTTTTTCTTAGGCTTCGACACACCGCGGCCGAGATTTCGCGGCCTACCGTCCTTGTGGGTGGTAGTGCTCGCGCTCTCGCTTTCCTCGCTGCCGCTACTCGGCCGTTGTGGCGAATCCGCGGCGGCGAAGAATTGCGCTAAAGAGGGACTAGGCGACGCCGGAACCGGCACCGAATTCTGCGGCACTCTTCTCGGCTTGGGTCCAGGTTTTCGTCTCGCTGCGATAATTCGGTTAATTATACTTTGGCCGATAAAATCGAATATTTTAAAAATTAATTTCTCCGAAAAATAAAATATAATTTTCATTTTAAAGTTCAGTTTACACTATTTAATTTTTAATTTAATATTAACATCAGGTTTAATATCGATTTATTTTCAGTGAACTGCGCATAAATCATGGAGTGGTTGTTTGAAAGATCGGCTTTAAGCAAAATGTGGAAAATCAATTGAACGAATTAACAAAAAACTGTAAGATTATAACGTTTGCAAAAAATACTGTCAACTTTCTACTTTTCTATTTCACGAATAGTTTCTCCGAGTAAAAAACACGCGATACGTTTACGCCTTTACAACTTTTAAAAACGACCAGATAATGACCGGAAGCAAGCATTTGTCGTACTTACATGTTCGATCGGAGGCAAGTAATGACTGGCTTAAATTACTGAGCTGACTGAGCGGCTGACTACAAGAAATCGGCGAGCTATTGCTCGTCGTGGCGGGTTTCAGAGAGAGATTTAGAGGCGCATCCGCATCGTTGACGTTGTTGTTGGCGTTGCTGCTACTGCTGCTGCTGCTGCTACTGCTAGTATACGTCGGGGGTGCCGATAGAACGGAGCCGTTGGTCGAATGAGCCGGTAGTTTGATCACCTCTACTCGATCCACCGTGTCTCCTCTGTACTCGTTCGAGTCGGTCTAAGAAGAGAGGTCATAAAATGCGAAATAATTACGTAATGCATTGTATTTTATTATCAGATTTATATCAAATGTATAATATATATTATATTTAGAGTTGTTAGTTAGTTTTCCAGAGAAAGGCAGTAATCACATATATCAATTATAAAAACTATAAATTATATAAATGACAAATATGTAGAGTAATGTTATAGTTCCTTTGTTTATATGGTAGTTTCTATGCAATTTAAAAATTACGGCAAACGCGTGCAGCGACTGTACGTACCCCCGTGCGATTATATTTCCTCGGTTCCATCAAGAGCGACGAGGTTGATGTCGTGTTCGTCTGATGCGCGCTAAGACCAGAGACAGGTGGTGGGTGTACGCTGACGCTGGGAGTGTCCAAGGATATTGTCTTCTTCCTGCCGCGGTTTGTCGTCCCGGGAACCTTCGGGCCGACTATACTCGACGTGTATTTGATAATCTCCGTATCGGGAGGTAGACGCACACCTCCCAATATACTGCTAGGATCGCTGAAGAAAAAATGTCATTGTGACGTTACTTATTTTTAGCAGCAATTAAAGCCAAATAAAATTATGCGACAACGAGAAGAAATGTTTCGAGTAATGAAATTTTGCGAATCTAATTTTATCAAGAGCTCTGCGCAAAGCTGGGCTTTCAACAGTATAAATACTCTGCTTAAATCTACGTAAAATATATTCACCTTCCTTCCTTCGCGGAACTGTCTCGCGATAGGGAAAACGATAGCGTGAAAAAATACAATTTTACGGGGAGTTAGAGATCAAACTAATCTTGAAAGTACTTTTGAAAATACGCAAGACTCACCTAACGACGTTCGTTTGTGAATTTGGCGTACTGCTGACCGGAGTGGTGCTATGATGAGAGGACGTCACCGGTACTTGAGTGGACACAGGTAGACTGCTGCTCGTCATACTCGGCGTCGTTGAGCTACTACTGCTAGCTGGTGTCTTGTGACTCTTGCTTGACTTAGCTGTTTCGTAATAACGTACACAACAGCGTGAACAGAGTTCTCGATTTAAATTGTCACCCGAAAAATGTCCGCCTTCGTCTCGATACAAGATCAACGACCATCGATTGTCGCGGTAGTTGATAAACTTTCACGGAGTCTAATTTCAAGTTTCTATCTCATTAATAAGTAATCTCGTTTATAACTCGAAACTTGACGGGAAACGTAGGAGCGAATTTAGAATTGTATTATTATAACTTGGAATGTGACAAGATATAAAGTGAAACAAAACTCATAAATATATAGAATGGGACAATTATAATAACAAATCGGAAGGAAAGAGATATGTATATTAACTCGAGCAAGTTTTAAAAATATCGGAAAATAACAAGTCGAGGAATAAATAAAATCGCACGAGCTATAACATTGAGAAGAGAAAAGGCTGTTAAGGACGTACGTCCTCCGGCGATTTCGAACGACGTTGTTATTTCGAAAGAACCCGTCGATCGAGGATTAAGCTGGAGGCGGACAGTTTCTCGAGGATCGTATTATGCAATGTTGCGTCGATCGCTGTTACTTACACTTACTGGACTTGTGGGACGAGAGGGATGGGGGATTAAGTAGAGAGGCGGGATAGGGCGGCAGGAGGCTCTCGGCACCAGGCGGAAATCCGGGAAGTCCTGCCGCTCCTTGTAGCCTCGCGATGTAGTCCTGCGCCGCCAGATGAGAGGCCATTGTCCACCATGCGCTGGCTGCTGGATTGATGCCTGCAATATGAACGAATTATTCCTTCCGTAAATCCGCTCGCTCCCGTAAAATTCGATCTTAAACTGCGGCTCGACATCGCTCGACTGTCCAACTTTCAACACGGGATGTAGAGAGGATAACTCATTTATCCGTAATGTCGTGTAAATAAACAAGTTCAGTGCGTATCGTGACGAAGTTGTAAGTAAATAAGAGGCATGGCGGATACTACTGATCTCTTTGTACGAAAATACAAATGGATTTTAGACGAAAATATAACATCTCTAATAATATGTTTATTTTAAATGTTTGTCAAACTAAACAATTATTCATCATTCATTTATATTGATTATCATGTTATAATAAAAATGTATAATGTGCAATTTTTTCATACCTATTTGATTGATAATTTGGACAATGTATTAAGCGCTTTCGTGTAAAATACTTGGTGATTGAGCTGTGGCATTCCGTTAAATGTTTACTACACATGTCGCGTTCGACGTTAGCCAAGCGGTCCCGAATTATCACGAAAACAGCCATGCGAGAAACACACGCTTCCAAGGAGAAGCGATCGTTTATTTCCGTGTTCATGACATGTAGAGCCACGATAATCGTCGGGACCTTATATAGGAACGGATCGCAATCTCACACGCGGAAGAACTAGAGGGACGAAATTAGGAGTGTAAGGGGAGAGAGTAAAGGGAACACGAGGGTTGCGATGGAAAAATGTCTACTTACCCAAACTTGCAGCTTGACTGGCAGCCACGCTGAGTGTACCCAGGCTGCTGTGGGGGTACGGGGACGGGGGTGGCGCCGAGGCTGGTGTGTGACCCCCGAAACCAGGCGCAGAACCTCCCCGGCCCAGAATAGCGTAAGCCGATGGCAAATGGTGGGCACCCAAGCCATAACCACCCGGTATCCCGCCGAAGAGCGACGACGCCGCGCTGTCGCCTCGGGGCCAATATGCTAAAGTTAAAATCGGAGAAGATCAAATGTGAGTCTACGAATTTATCGTATATACTATATAAATACATAGAGAATTTTCTCTTGGAACTTATCCGCGAGATCATGCACAGAAAAAAAGGAATCCTTGATTCAAGTATATTTTTATTCTTGACTGATTTAAGCATAAAATGCTCTTTGTAATCACACATTTTCATTTGCCTGAATAATAAAAGGGTTTGTGCGAAGTATATTTTTTTATCTTTAAGATATATTCTGGTTTCAAAAATCGCATATGGTAAAAACAAACTTAGTCACATTTGAACTAAGAATTATTATATATACTTGAAAGTACCGCTTATATCCGATGCTCACGTGTCCTTGCAATATTTATAAGTAAATTTCAGCTTCAACCAAGAATATTTTGTACTTTGTTTTAAGGATAAATTATTTTTTATCCAAAATTATTTATATTTGACGCTATTATAAGAATAAAATATACTTTAATCAAGGCATCTTTGCATTCTCTCAAGGATACTGTTTTTTCTGTGATGTAAAAGTACACCGATTTTTTTCAGTGCACTAAAACAATTTATTTAATTCGAACAAGTATTTATTTCAATACTGCCAAATGAATCATTTATTTGAAACTAATAATATTAATTTGATATGAAAAATATTTATTTGATATAAGAAAATCCTTTTCAAAACACAGAAAAAAAGGAATCCTTGATTCAAGTATATTTTTATTCTTGAACGCTATTTAATTGATTTAAGCATAGAATGCTCTTTGTAATCACACATTTTCATTTGCCTTAATAATAAGCAAGTTTGTGTGAAGTATATTTTATCCTTCAGATATATTCTGGTTTTAAAAATCGCATATGGTAAAAACAAACTTAGTCACATTTGAACTAAGAATTATTATATATACTTGAAAGTACCGCTTATATCCGATGATGCTCGCTTGTCCTTGCAATATTTATAAGTAAATTTCAGCTTCAACCAAGAATATTTTGCACTTTGTTTTAAGGATAAATTATCCTTTATCTAAAATTATTTATATTTGACGCTATAAGGATAAAATATACTTTAATCAAGGCATCTTTGCATTCTTTCAAGGATACTGTTTTTTCTGTGTGGTGATCGTCGTAATATTTTTATCGCAATAAGAAATATTGGTATCTATACCACATTAAGGTATAAAATAGATCCGATTTACTATGCAGGGGAAAGTATGCTATAAATCGTACCCTCCTAAGATAAATACTCAAATTGCAATAAAACTATGAAATTTACAAATTTTCTTTGTTTGTTTGAAACTATAGTTTCTTTGTCAAGATTTGCGAAATTATATCCATGAGCTTAAATCGTACCTCTAACAATAAAATTAAAAGATTGTGACAGTTTGCAACAAAACATCTCTAAAAACGTCGCATATTTATAATCACATATTTTCAAAAAAATAACTATACCTAAATAAAAAATTAATAAATCGTACCAGTATGATAATAGGAAGTTACGATTTATTGAACTTCGCTTGCTTTGTCAAGTTTGTGAATAAAAAATATAATCTTAAAACACACTTTTGCCGATTTTTCAACACTTCCACAGGATTAAAAGATGAAAAATACTTTAATAGTAATATTAATCAAAGAGAAATAAAATTTTCTATAAAATTCTTCCAATACCATATTATATATCCCACCGTGCATAATTTTCAGGATAAATTCTAAGAGAAAATTCTCTGTGTACGCGCACATACGCATTAATAATACTCGAGTCAACAATATTATCTCGAGAAACCGCATTAAAGAGATATTTGTGTACAGCAAACTCGATAAGGGAATAACGATAATATATATATCGATTACGCGCGATATATTGTTCGAAGTCGAGTCTGAGAGATTTAAAAATATCTATTGTATAGCTAAAATCAATCCACAAAACAATCTAAACGATACTGTAATCTCTATTCGCTATGACGTAAAGTCATTCGTGCTTTGTAAAATCCAATTTCATGTTATTCCATGTTATTCTCCATTCAATGATACTGATCCCTTCAATTTTGTCATATTGTGCAAACAGTGTGTGATGACTGCACAGGTCGGTGCTCACATTGAGAGAGCATAGCGTATAGTATTAATACTATCAAAGTCCTGCGGCGATTTGAGTAAATTAATTAATTACCTGGGAGCAATATATGCAATTTGCCTATATGATAATGTGCCGCACGTTGGAGTAATAATTTATTATTGTATTCTATCGTGCAAACACAACAAAATGTATACCTATACACAGGCATATATGTACATATTCGCAACAAAAATTATATATACATATAAGAAGCGAATACGCAATCGTAAATCTTACACGCGATAAATAAATTACTCACTGATTCGAGATGTGATTTCGTTACAAGTGCAATGTTTATAAAGAACAAAGCAGAAATGCATCGCGATAATATTTTGCGAAATATTTCTCCGTCGACATAAAATATTTTAACATTCGAAATAAAGCAAAAGTACTCGCATTAAGCGCGAATAAATTCTCTTCATTTTTCTTCATAATTATGAATTTTTGCTTACAAAATTAAATTTGCACGGAGGCACTAAAAAATAAGTCAGCGCTTTTGTTCTTTTTAATAATCTCGTAATTAAACGCCCTCAAATCGCATTATCACGTTAACCGTTATGCGCGTTGATAATAACGACAATGAAGTGCTTTACAACGAAAGAGCGGATAAGTGATGTAATTGAATAAATCGCGCATGCATGTTATAATTTTAGAAATTAAGTGCGCGCGTGTGTCCGTATAGATGAAAATAATTCACGAATGCCAAGAACTTGTTACGATAACATCAGACGTACAGACTTTAGCAAAAACTAGCGATTCTTTCGAAATACTCTATATGAGAGCTAAGTTTATCAAATTTCTGTCTCTCTTTTTGCAACATCACAATTATCTCTTTCAAAAAAACACAATGTCTCAGAGAAACTTCAAAAACAATGTCTATTATTTAATGAATATGCCAAAGCATCATTGCCAATTTAAAAAATTTTTTATTATTTTCATTTTCCTTTATGTGAAAAACATGCAAATAAATTTCAGTTATTCAAAGGAAGAGCAAATGCTGAATTTTTCCTACTGATTCCTCAGAAAGGAGGGCAAAGTGATTGAGCAAGCTTTTTTTTTGTATAGAAATTTCGATTTGATGGAAGAATTATCGCGGAAAAAAGGAAATTTTCAGTCTCGGGGTTATTAATTTTGCGGAAAGCGGTACTCGATCATTCGCGTCGCATTTATATAATTTATTGTTGCGAATGCCGGGGCAAATGTACCGTTGATTTTCTACGAGTGCGACGGCCTTGAGTAAGGCCGTGGCATTGAAATCCGAGCGGCGCTTTAATTTATACCGGTCGTTGAACTCTCCGCACTCCGGCTTGTACGACTGCTTCACCCAGTGAACAGCCGCATAATAGTTTACCTGCATACGCATGTGTTTACAGATGCATTTGCGTACGTGAATACAATGAAGACTCAAGGTTTCATTCGTCATCGATTTTCTTCGGGCAGTTTCGCGAAAATGTGAAAGCCGCGGAACAGACACGTTCGACGTTTTCATGTACGAAACGCTATACCGATTTCTCTTTCTTCTTTTTGTGCTCGGATCGTAAATAGTGAGTATACATAAATCGTCGATGTGGAGAATTTTAAATTGGCGCGGCGCCAAAGTTTAAAGGGACTTGACCGTGCGAAAACAAAAGTATAACCCGCGAATAAATATACATAAAAAAAAAAAAAAAAAAAAAGTATCAATCGATAATCGCAAATTATCCCTTCTTTAATCGAGATTGATCATTTCACCGTCAATTTTCTGAAAGCTAGAATACGTTTCGTGTCTCTCAGTCTTTGACCTCGATTGACGACCCTATATATAGCACAATTTTCTTTTCTTAATGACTTAACGACGAGCGGAAAGTCGTATCGTGCCTTCCTCTTTAATATATCTACATGCTTTAACGACAATCCATTATTCGAACAACCGAGCAACGCATTAACCGTGGTCGCCATTTTCACACGTATATACATGTATGTACATATGTATATCATATTTGATGTAACGTTGCCGTGCCAGGACTCGTAAAGACAGCCGATAAAATACCGTCGTTGGAAAAGGAGCGGCGGACGAACACACATGTGTTTTTCTGTATATTTTCCGTAGTTACTTTTCCATTTGACGCGAAGCGACGTTAACACATATTCATGCGTGACACGTGACCTATATCATTTGATGGAAATTATGTCTATCATGATACTAGAGTATAAACAGCAGCACGAAATGCCGAGTTTCGAATAAATCGATACGTCAAAAATTTCGTCTGGATTAATATCGCGCTTATACATATATGCGAAAGAAAATACGAGATAGGAGCATTAATCAATTAAACACTCGAGAGATACTTCTACATTGAACTTGTTATGTACAGTTCTATACACTTGTCACTTATAATCTATCTCCTTGAATTTATGAGAGAAGTCTCGATATCCCTCCGTAGTATTTCCAACTATAGAATGTTTATCAGAAAGAGCGCGAACTATTTTTAGATTAAATTGCAATAATTTGCATAATCTCATAGATTGTCATAGTCATATAAATTTTCATGCTGAAAATCTCATTATACTGACAACTTGTAAATATTATCTCTATCGCTTTGGCGCGTTTAATTATGTGTAATTCATATACACTCGATATCTAAATATCAATCAATTAATATCATAAACCGTAAATCATGTCAGATCGTTACGACGATATTGTTTTTCATTTTCTACACGACTGTAAACTCTAAAGAGATAATATAATTATAGTATTGCCTTATATATGAGGACTGCACACGTAGTCTATATAATACATAGATGCTTCTAAACTATCAATTATCCTAACATGGTTTATATTTTGCTATAATCGATAGTCATCTATGTCCACATAAGGTTAATTAGAATATCACGATGATCGACAAGCT